AAATAAATAAACTGAAAGCCAAATAAATAATAAAATATATATAATTTTACATTCAAATAATTAAAGGTGAAGATTAAGCAGTTATTTTTATTTATTATAATATATGTGTTATTACATCTAACAGCAATGTTTACATATAAAGAATATATTATATAAACATATTTACTAGGTTTTCGACTTGTATAATTTATAAAAATGATTATTTATTATTTATTATTTTATAAAAAAGAAACATATTGCAGGTGACTAAAACTATGACATATAAAATATATACAGATCTATGAATCTGAAACATATTTTTGAAAAAATAAAAAGGTAATAAATAATACATTTGAAAAAAAAAAAATATATATATATATATAAATACAATTTTAAGTAGATCGTGATGTGAAGTGTTGTTAGCAGCAGCAGCAGTAGTAGTAGTAGTAGTAGTAGTAGTAGTAGTGCTACTAGTCTTCACGTGCACGCGTAGTGACGCATGTGCGAGCGTGCTTACTAAATCTGGCTGTACTACCCTCTTATCGTCTGATCTGTTTAACGTCAACTTCATAGTCTTAATCGTTTTAACACTATGCTTGAACGAGGGTATGGATATATTTTCTCTAAATGGCATTTTTTTTTGTGATTTGTTTTAGGTATTTATTTAATGGATTGTTCTCCATGTGATATTCGTTATATTTGTTTTTTTTTTTTATGAAATGTATTTATTAGTTTCTTAGGTTGTGTTTTATTGTATTGATTATTATTTTTATTTTCAGTACATGGATATCTTTATTATGTTTCAAAGTAAACTAGGGATTATTCGGGTGCCAGGTAACAATTTTAATTTTTTTTATAAATTTTACATTTTTCAAATTTAATGTAAATAAATTAAAATTATTTAACTTAAGCCCCCCATACACGGTCAGTCTTGAATTACAATCAACATGATTGACAGTCGAAACTAATCATTGACTGACGATTGATAACTTCCATACACAATCAATCAAGAATGACAATCGTTCAATTTTTTTGTCAGTTCAAAAGTGTACACTTTACGAATAAGTACTTATTCGTGCTGTTTTGTATTGTTTTGTGCTGTGTACATTTAATTAATTTTTTTATATACCTATATTTATTTATAGGTATTTTTATAAATATTTTTGAGTTTGTCAATTTATTAAAATGGATAAAGATGCACTTATTGGTATTGCCATTTATCTCGCGTGTGATGAACCCAAAAAGAGAAAGAAAAGATTCTGGGTTAAAGAATGGTTGCCGAAAAAAAACTCATTCTCTGATCATAATTTACGACAAAAAAAGACAAAACAAGACTCGACTGCTCCACACAATTCGACTAGATCGACTGATAAATTGTACATTCATAGACATACACGGTCAATCATGAATGTCAATCATCTTGACTGATGATAAAAATTCAAACATGTTTGAATTTCATCAGTCATAAAATTTGACTGTCAGTCATTATCAGTCATATACATATACGGTCAGTCATGAATGTCAATCACGTTGATTGTCATTCAAAACTGATCGTGTATGGGGGCCTTTACATAAAATATTATTCAATATATATTAATCATATTTTTCAAATTAAGTATAAATAATAAACCCTTAAAAAATAGCGTTCATAATTATAAAAAGTATTTCAATTTAAATTAATCAACTCAATTTTAAATCAAAATATTCAAATTTCAATTCATTTATTTTTATGTTTCTTTTCATAACTTGTTTTATTTTTTGTTTTAACCTATGTCAAGTTTAATTGGGGAGCCAGGTATATACTAAATTTTTTATTTGAATTTTATATGTATAATATATAATGGTATAAATATCAAACTCATTTTATTTACATAAAATATCATAAACATTTAAATCATATGATTCAAATTAAATATTAATAATATACTCTTAAAAAATAGCGTTCATTATTATAAAAAATATTTCAATTTAAAGTAATTATTTCAATTTTATTTCTATATATTCTAATTTTAATTAATTTGTTTTTGTTTCATTTCAGATCATGGATTTTTTTGTGTTTAACATTCATATGGATTCATTCGGGAGCCAGGTAACTATTTTAATTATTTTTTTGAATAATAAACATTTTATATTTAATGTTATTAAAATTAAAATTATTTAGCATGCATAAAATATCATAAAATGTTAATATAATGTGATTAAAATTAACTTATATTAATAAACACTTTACAAATCGCCTTCATCATTTTAAAATATAATTAAATATCAATTAACCACTTTAATATAATTTGAAATATATAAAATTTGTATTCATTTATTTCTATGTTTCTTTTCGTAACTTGTATTTGTTTTTTATTTTTTTTAACCTAAATCAATTTCAATTCGGGAGCAGGGTATACACCAAATTTTTTATTTGAATTTAATATCTTTAATGTATAATTGGGCGGTACTGGTTTGCGCACAAATATCAAAAAGACAACTTGTTTGGGCACAAAACTACCACTCGTTTGGGAACAGTCGAGTCGTAATCATACACATGGTGTGCGCACAGTTACCTTTTAGACTTTAATAGTTTAATACCCTGTAAATTAATATTTCTTTATTATTAAAGTACTTACATCAATTTTCCTTCCCCCTTAACAGACTTAGGACTGTCTATGAATGTATTCATAGGTGTGGTTAAAATTGTATGTTAATTGCTTATTAATAATTGTAATAAATAATATTTAATACTTGTTCAAGATAAAAATGCATGTTAATTTTAATTTTAATATAAGTGATTTGTTTTTTAATGTAAAGACAATGGTATACGTATAAACGTTATTTTATCAATAAAATTTGTTTCTTCTCCATCCTGTTATCAACTGAAAATATATTTTAAAAACATTGTTGGACAAAAAGATTGGTTGACGAGGAAACACGATGTTTGAAACATCACAGCAACATAATCATACTATCGGCGTCCACGAAAAAACAATTTACGGAAGAGACCACGTGATTATGATTGTAGCAATACTACCGATACCAATAAAGTATCGATGCTTTTCTTTTGATACAAGTACTTTTTGTATTCGATACCATGGTTATGATACTTATATCGACAAGAAAATACTGGTATCGAATAAACAGTATTGAATCAATTACCAACCGACATATTGGTTTAAAAATCAAAATACTCGAATGGTATCGTACAATAATTATTTTCTAATAAAATAGTTCGTGAGCGTGGTGGTGGATTTGTTTACATAAATCAGTCATCATACTATAGTCTATACTCTATACGATTATATTGTTATTTCCACGGACCAGAAACCGCAGTCCACAATAGAATAGCGTCAATAGGTTTCAATAGGAACGATTATTCATATCGGTCGTCTTTATATTTTTATTCTTATCATTATTTTAATTCGATTCGATACGACGATACGAAGAAGTAAAATGATCAATACTTTTCTCTCGATACTTCCTCATATCGGTTCTTTCGTTAGGATATTTTTATTCGATTCGACACCAAGTAAAAATATTGATACTTTTCTTTCGATACTACGTTGCTACCTACCGGAGCTCACGGACGTATTGTGTACAAATAAAGGATAATTTATCTATCTGTGTGATTTATTTTGATAATAACGTCAATGCGATCAATAAAATACACTTCGGTTACGGTCGAAGGCCAATAATCGTCTCCTACCCGTCTCACACAGATAAAGACCACTGTAAAATAGTTTCGACGCAATCAACTTCGCGTATCTCGCGATAAACGTCGTTCGGGGTCGTATTGATAGAAGCTGTTATCAACTCTTCACGTTAATATTTCATTTTCGAAATTGATAATGAATGGTGGTACCCACACGCTTCGGTATTATTTCAAATAGTGTTTAAATGTGTCAGACGTGTGAAACATGAACATGAAACTGTATAATAAATTATACGTACCTACCAAGGTTGCGGGATTCCATATCACCCGTGTTAATTCTGCAGCCTTTGAGCGTTGTACGCCGAATAGTTAGATAATATGCTCGCGTTAAATGTGCACCGCTTCATCCGTGTCAGTTGTACATTCCAATTTCGTCGGCGTAGGAATATCTACCTTCCGAACACGAGTCGAAAATAAATATTAATCGATAATTGGTCAAACACCTACGATTACTAATTAACTTACTGACTTCTGTTCTCACGTACATTATGTGAGTATCTCATGTACAGTCTTCATCAATTGATTCGTTCAATATTTGTCTTTACTTTATTGAAAACATATAACAATTTATGTATAAAAAAAAATAGTGTTTATTATTTTTTTTTTCTGTACATTAATTTCAATTCCAATTTCTATAGACTTGAATTTTTACTATTTATTCTTTTAATTGCAGATTAATGATGTATTTGGACATGGATGACTTGGTGACGTCTAGTATAATTGCTTTTTTAACTGCGAGCATAGTGTTCATTTTGAGTATTAAGGTGTTCAGATCATTCTTCAATGGTAATGTTGCCGATAAAAGCTTGTCATCCCATATATGGGTTGAGAAACCCACATATATAGTTAGTGTAAGTATTTTATCACTTAAGAAATTTCTTTTAATCTTAATGTTTCTGAGGATAAATATTTAATCATAGGACCCTAATGCCTGTGTTGTTTGTGAAACATTAACACATGGATCAAAAGTGCGCTACTGTGATAGTTGTAGAATTTTTGTTGATTTGGGTTGCATAAAAAAAGCTGACAAACAAATATGTTGTAAAATGCTGAGTACCAACAGACCCTTAAAAGAATTCACTCATCATTGGAACAAGTGTAATACATCTAAATATTAAATAACATTTACCTTTTAATATTAATTAGATGTTTATTGTAGCTCTGTCAGTTGATGTTATGTGTTCTGTTTGTTCTTCGGATGATGAAACTGATAATATTCTTGGACAATTTTTTCAATGTATATGGTGCCAGAAATTTGTGCATGAAAAGTGTGTAATTCAATTTGAACAAGTAATAAAATAGCTTTATTTTCTATAATTATTAACAATAATTAAACTAAAAGATTATAAATGTAATAGTACTTATAATATATAAATATATAATATGTTTAATATACATATTTATATTTATATTTATAGTATTTATAATAGTACCTTACATTTTATTCATCATGAGTTATTGATCAGTATCAAAAAAAAAAAAAAAAATTAATTTTACTTGGTTTTGGAATTTTAATTTAGTATTCTTTTAGGTAGCACAACCAAATGTTTATAAATTAAAAATAGTTTATTTAAATATTAATTATATATTCCAAGTATGAATTATTGATGATAAAATTGTTTTTTTTTAGAAATGTGATTTTGGAGTACATCGAAATTATATTATACCACCATTTTGTATAAAAACAAGTAATAGGTTTAAAAATGTATCTAAACAAACCATTGAAAAAGTAGTTCATCCTGGTTGGGAAAATTGGACACCATTAATAATATTTGGTAAGTCAATAAATGTATTGTTTTATCATTTTATATCAATTTTCTATTTTAGCAAACAAAAAATCTGGTAATAATGATGGAGCTCTAATAATATCACATTTCCGACGTTTATTGAATCCCATTCAAGTATACGATGTGATTGATTGTCCTCCAGAAAAAGCTTTGGTATGGCTAAAAAATACACAATTAGAATGTATTTACGTATTAGTAGCTGGTGGTGATGGAACGGTAGCTGGTATATTGAATGGCATCCATAATTTAAAATTAAAAGTATTAATAAAATTATTATTTGTAGCATCAATATATTATATTTAATTAAAAATTTTTTAGGTTGATCCTGCTGTAGGAATTATACCACTTGGTACAGGAAATGACTTGTCCAGGGTTTTAGGGTGGGGAACTTCTTATTCTGATTTAGATTGTTCTGTCATATTTGATTTTCTCAACAATGTTTCTATTATAAAATTAGATAGGTTAGTTTTTAATTTTATTATTTTAACAATGACATCAGTGTAGAGTATTCTTTTTTTTTATTAGGTGGAAAGTGAACATTATGTCAAATGTGTTGAAGAAAATAAAAATAACTAACACTATTACAATGTATAATTACTTGGGTATTGGTTTGGATGCTCAGATAACATTAGACTTTCATCGTACTAGAAAATCACCATTGTACTTATTTAATAGTACATTGTTCAATAAGATGATTTATGTTGGATGTGGCACTCAACAATTTCTTGAACATCAGTGTCAGGGCTTACCTGATATGATCGAGCTGTATATGGATGGCAGAAAAATTACTTTACCAGATATTGAGTCTATCGTCATAGTCAATATTGAATCTTGGGGTGCTGGTGTAAATTTGTGGCAATTAGGAGCTGATGATGGCAATGAATTTGGATCACAGTTCATTGATGATGGAAAGTTAGAAGTGCTTGGTGTACGATCTTCAATACATATCGCACAATTAAAAATAGGAATTGCTAAACCTATTAGAATTGGTCAAGCATCTATGATTAGAGTAGGGGATTTGTATTAATTTTACCTAGTTTATATTTCTATTTTGTCTAATGATTTTTATATTTTTGATTAAAATAATTTTGAACAGGTGAAATTATTGCAAAAGTTACCAGTTCAGATAGATGGTGAGCCTTGGCTTCAGCCAAAATGTGAGATTGTGCTCCAGAGGACTAATCAAGCTACAGTGTTGAAGTTGTCTAACATAATTTAATAAAGTAAATTAATTAATTTAAATATAGTTATAATGTTGTAAAATTATTAAAAATTCATCCCAAGTAATAAGCAATAAGAGTATAATAACATATAATATTATTATACTCTTTGTATGTATTTTTAATACATTTACAACAATATTCCTATGTTATACGAGTATAAAATGATTTTTAATTTAATTTAAACTATGTTTAGTTCAAACCGTCCATTGATATATCATGTTTTGATATTATGCAAGTTTGTAATTAAAAGAGATAGGATCTAATAGTATTATAAATAATAGATAATTATTTAATTAAACTTTTAGATTATTTAAATTAATATAATTACCTATATTTTATGCACCAATAACAAAAATTAACATTTAGAATTTCAGTAATTCCAATGATTTTGATTTAATCTATTAATTTAGAGAAAATTACCAATAACATTTTATAGTATTATTATTTTACTTGTGTTCATTAGAGAACCTAATTATAGTAATAGTAATATAATATAAAAGATTATTAAAAAATAAAAAGATTATCTATTGATGTTGGCATAAAATAAGTCTTAAGTACATGTTAAAAAGTAGTAATATGTGAAAAAAGAGAGTAGAGATAAAGCCATATAAAATATATTTTAATGTTTCAGAAATTTTTTTTTTAATTGATAGTAAAAGTATAATGGCATTAAACAGTTAGTAAGCACCTCACATATAACAAATATATTATTAAGTTAGCATACATATATATATATATATATATATAACAATGCATATAATAATATTTTTTGTTTTTTGTATTATCTGTATAGAGATAAGCTGATAATTGTATGGCTAATATTCTTAGACAATGGAAACTGAAAATTGTAATCGTTTCATACATAAGAATCCTCAAAATTATTATTTTCTATTTAGTAAGACTTGAAACTATGCCTGCATATCAAGTTATCATAAAATACTATTTTAAGAGTAAAAACTAAAAAGTTATTAAATACCTAATACTGAACTATTTATACTATTTGAATGATAATTATAATGTAAAATCACTAGTTTGCATTCCTATAGATAGTAAATTATTAGGAAGTATTAATATTTATTATAGTATTAATACTTTTATAATTATTATGGATCACAAAAACTTAACTTAAGTATGAGATATATTATTAAACTGTATTTATTTATTTATTTATTTTTTTGAGATACCAATTTTTCTCATAAGTTATTATTTTGTTTTATACATATTGTGTAGTCAGGGATGGCAACTTTTTCTAATATTGCATGCCAAAAATGCTAAAAATTACCTTATTTTTTTCTTTCTACTTTGTTATTAAAAATATTGTGTATTAATATATAATTTAAATGTATTTAATTATAATTTTTTCTTTTTTTTAAAAATGTAATATTTAATTGCACTTTAAAAATGCACTTGATGATAATTAATTTATATTCGGCTTATAATTTGTAACTTTTAAATAAAGTGCTTGTGACTTTACTGCATTAATCCATTGGTCGGTTTTTTTAATCAGGTTTAATAAAATTTTTTCCAAGAAGAGTGATTCGCATAAGTTGATTAATAAATGACAAATTAGCTAAAGCTATTATTTTTAAAGTTTTTCGTTATGGTTTTATTATTATTATTTTTTTTTTAATTAAATATAATTTACTAAATATTTATATTGTTCACATGCCTTTATTATTTCTCTGCCTGCCATTTCATGCATGTGTTCCACATGAATTTGTCATCCCTGTTATAGATTGAGCATACAATTTATATTTATTGTATTATATAGTTTAAAATAATAACTGATAGGTTTTTATGTAAAATAGTTATAATTTTTGTTTAAAAGACTGATTTATTCATTAATAGTATATAAATACAAATATATATGTATATTTATAGTTTTTTTTTTTAAATAAAAAAAATACTCTCAATTTATTAACTAGTTTTTAATTTTACCATTATTTTTAATATACTTAATATTATTAAACAATTAATATAGGTTTATTTACACTCATAATTTCAATTAGTTCTAAATAAATGTGACAAAAATATTAAATAATTTAAATTGCACACTACTCAAACCTAAATAAATAAATAACCTAAATAAAATAAATAAGTTGATCAAATATAATAATTATTTATTTCAAAGTTTCTCATGAAGCGATTATTAGTAAGATAGGTTACATTTATATAGAAAAGATTTTTTTGTTTGTGGTTTAAACTTCCAAACTTTAATTATTTATAATAATTTAGGAATCTATTGTAGTTTATTAGTTTATAATAATAATAGTGATTTTAAATTTCTAAAGACTATTGAATTATTATAAGCATTTAATTTTGAAGGTATTTTTAGCTTTCTAAATTATGAATCTGTAAGTGATCATAGATATTTTAATAAAATAGATACACATATTATGAAAGTTGACTATGTAGCTAAATATAGTGTGACTATGTAGTGTTAAAAATAAGTATTTGGAAATAATATATACCTACTAAAATGTTGTTAGTTAAAAATATAAAATTTAAAATATGAAACGTTTCATTCAATTTCTTAAAATATGAGGTTTACCATTATTATCTTAAAAATTGCTATGGTTTTCCAAGGATTTAATAATGTTTGATTAATATTTAAAAATGTAAAGGATGATTAAAATAAGTTGCCATATATTAACATATAATCATATAATGTTACATAATCGTTTTATATTAAAAATAAGATGTTTTTTTTAATTTTTCACATGTATAAAAATTAATTAATTTCAGATGTATACAATTTAAAATTAGTAAATACTAATATTTTAATAAAATATAGTATTCATACTTGTTTTATATAGTTATTATTGTAACCATCTTTTAGACTAATAAAAAAATATAACAAATCAGGACTGAAATATATACTGCCGACTATTCTTTTAAGCAAGTTCTTTATTAAATTTTAGTTTCTCCTAGATTTTATTATGTTCATTTTTTTGAATAGGATAAATAATTATACATTAATATTAGTTCCTTTCAAATTGCAGATTTTTAATGAAAAAAATTGTTATTTTCTATAATATAACTTTAAATGGACAATTCTGCAATTATTTTAAGATAATTCAGAAAAAAATTTACATTTTAAAATTAAATTTAAAATATTTATAAAATAATAAATTAAACTTCCACGTAAAATGTGTAAAATTCTTTCAGTTACCTAATGTTGTTTTATTATTTATTTATGTAATTATAATAAATGTTGTAAAGTTATTTATTACTTTTAATAAGCTTATGTATAATTTATTTTTTATTTTTTTTATTAAATGTTATGATTATGTTTTTTTTTATTTACATACAATTAATAAAGTTTTTGTTAATAATCATTTATTTACAATATAGTATTAATGTTACACAAATAATATACAGATATTTCTTAATATATAATTATTTGAAAATTGGTGTCATCTGACTGTTTTTGAATTTAATGATAGTGTAAGACCATTATCAAATAATTTATACAAGTAAGATACATCTTCTATTTGATAAATTGATTCGTTTGAAGTGATCCTCATTGTGCCCGTTGCCGAATTGGAAAATCCTGTGACTAATGGTGCTAATGATACTCTTATATCAGCCAAATGTGATGCTGCTGATGTTAGCCTTTTGGCCGTTTCATCAAATTTGTGTTTCCAACACCCAAATACTAGGTATAAACGTTGATGGCGTTTTGTAAACATGAGAAAACCAATTATTTCTTCTAGCTTTTCACCCAAAAATAACAGCGCGCTAATATCGTCCACAATCATATACACATTACCGACCGGGTGTTGTTCTAACAGATTTTGAGCGCATTCGACTAAACGACCAACCGTCATTACAGACTCGATAAATGTGAACCTCTTTTTGTTTGTCATCAACAGTAGGTTGTAATGGAACTTAAGGCCCACATTCTGGTAATGACCGTACGTGTCTCTAATTCCAACCATGCACACGGGACTGTCTGTCTTGTTGAACACGTACCACATGTAAAACGACAAGATTATGTCGGCTTTGCTAGTGTCCGTTTCTTCGGCGCATACCATCCGTCGTTCCGGCAAGTCGGGTTTGAGCACCAATTTCAGCTCTTCCAAAACATTCACGTTTGACATCGTGTAGGCAATGATCGTCGAAATACTATTACAAAACAAATTTTATTTTTTTTAAAAAAAAAGTTTTTACCGTTCGTCGCTATCATACCACAGGGCACACGGTTGGCGAAATTTTAAAACATGTCACGGCGCATTTAACCATCCGACCATCAGATATCAGATATATGATAATAAGTTAATATTGATAACAAATTGTAACAATGATAACAATCATGGTAATATAAAATTTTCGCATTAAAATTCGTATGTTTAATTATCGAATAATAGTATAATTATAATTAATTTGCGAAGAACTAATAACTATGTAAGGTTTAAATTCTAAGGTACCTGTCTAAGACAACCGTAGATTTGAGATTGAGGAAAATAATTTTGAATCGCTTTAATAGCAGCTTGTTCAAAATCACAAGACGATAAAGATATTGTGTTTTTATTAAAGTTATACTGCGATAAGGTAGAGCAGTACGAATGTTATAACTTATTAGTATAGTGTATACAATTTTAGAAAATAACACCTGGCGCCGAAATGTCCTAGATCGGTAACATATATCAGAGTATGTATACAGAGAACAACAGAGTCAACTGCCTGTTTATAACATTAAAATATACTCTTATGCCTATATATCAGGACACACCCGACATTGTAATGTGCATTGGTCAGCATTTTGCTTTCCTTACAATAAGATATAATTATATTTCTAATTTACAGTATGACTATATTACTTATAATCTACATAATACAGGGTGTGTTGTTTTCTTTCAACATTGTGAAACAAAACTTAAAACTGTTTTTTAATATCAGTTTTATATTTTTGCTAGGTAACACTATAAATTCAATTAATTATTGATTAAAATACGACCACTGAATACAACAAAAATAGCGATACCAAATAAAAATTATAATGAAAAAAGTAATTCATATTTTTGACAGTTACATTTCCATCATTAACGTTAATATCAGTATTATTTTAGGTAAAAGTAAATGAAAAACTGTTAAAGCAGAACTAAAATATTTTAAAAAGTGAAATCAAAGATCATACAATGCAAGATTACACTAAAACAAAAATCTGTGGAAATACTGTGAGAAATGAAAATATGTCAAGAAAACCCATAACAGATATGAATGGTATTCATACAGTTTAATATTTTGTTAATGACGTTTGTTAATTATATCTATTTTACTGGAACCTATTTTTTGTTATCAAATCAGCGATAAAACGATGGAATCAGATTTTGTCCAAGACGAAGATTTTCGGATGTAATCGAGCAACTTCTACGAGAGTAATAATTTTATTGACGTTGATTATAGTTTTATTTTAATTTCATTGATATATTACAATATATTTTATATACTTGATTGTGTTTGTATTATTTTTAGGATACCACTGTAATTCCGAAATGTGCAAAAATTGTTGGTGATATATCACCGATGAGAAATACACAAAATCAAAAAAAAAAAATTAAAAATTTAAGAGTTGAAACTGCTGAACAAGTTGTTAATAGACATGTGAAATATAAACGAAATACTGATGGTTAATTTTTATGTTTTCATCTAATGATATGTATACGCATGGGCACAACTAGAGCCTAAATATTGGGGGTGCTGAAATTGCTGAAAATAAAATTAAATGGTATTTAACTGTAATTGCTATAGATTATATAGATCTGAAAAAAAATAGTGCTACATTTGTACTCAGAGGTGTTTAAAACCTTATTGCTCCCCCTAATTGCGCCTATCTGTATATGTACTTCATTTATCGCATAAAACAATGTACGATAAAAAAAATAAAAGCTGAAAACCAATATAGATACGGTAGAAAATTCGCAAGTTACATCAACTACCAAAAAAAGTGATTCCACGAATGATGAAATGAAAAAGTTGGACTTTGATGTAGAACTAACGAATGAACAATTGAAAACAGTCAAGAATGAGTGGTCAAACGAAAAATGTAATAATACCGTATTAATGAATTCGATTTATGCAACTGTTTAGGCTTGATTAAAAACCATCTATTTTAGATAAAAGTCAAACCATGGAGATGGAAAATGATAATGAATTATCCTATAAAGAAAAACTGGATGAAGTTTTAACTGAAAAATGTCACCTTCTACAACGGTACTTTTAGTGTTATACGAGTAGATGCAAAAATTAAACATAATATTTTGTGGTAAATCTGATAGAAATCCTTCCGTAATTGACTGTAAGCAATTTCATTATTTAGTGTTCTTTACATGAATACTAATTTTTTGCCGAATGGTTCTAATATAATAATAATAATATAATAATAAATATAATATATTTATTGTTATTTTACCCATCATTGAAACTATAAACGTGTGATTTGTTTGTTATTATAAAATTTTATTAAGAAAATTTAAAATATTAATATTTGCGGATTTTTATTCTTTATTAGGTTCATTATACTTTTTAAATGAAAATATTTTAAAAATTTATATTCATTAAATATAATAATATCTTAGAACATATATGTGAAGTTTTAATATTTTAACGACTTTTATATGTTCTAGTGCATAAATATCCAATACTGTTAATGATATAGTAATTACAATTTAATTTTAAACAATATATATGTATATACATATTAGGATGGTTCTTATATGTATATATATTGATTTTGTTAAAAAAAAATTGTTTTTTAATATTTTTCTTAGATAAATTAAATTTACGAAAAATATTGTTATAATATTTTTTTTATAGATATTAATGTATTCCTTAATTATGATTCTATACATTTTTATGCTAATTGCAATAGTTTTTTTTATACATCTGAAAAACAATTGAACTATCCTCTTCTGCCATTTTTCAAATATAAGTCGTTACTAGAAGGGGTTGAATATTGTCTTCCAAATTTTACCCAAATGGCTTTCTCATGTGACAAATCTAGTGAGTATGGACTAAATAAGTTTGAAATTAAGGACCACCCTAACATATATATAATAATCTAATAATTATAAGCGATCGTGGAACATAATTTTTAGTTTTTCAAATCAAGGGTTTACGTTTAAGTTTTTCAAATATTATAGATTAAGTACTTAAAGATAATTCACTCATTTATTCTACTGAACATTTTTTTCATAGTTTGAAGGAGTGTGAAATGTTGCTAGAGAATGCAAATAAAAAAATGATTTCTATATCAAACAAATCTGATCGAATGGTGGACAAACAGATAGAAAAATTTAATACAATTAATGAAGAGTAAAAATTGCAGTTTAAAGTTAAAATATGTTACATTATTCGATTTTTTATTATTTTCAGACGGCTTAATGAATGGAATGAATATCAAAAAAAATTGGAAAACCAAAACACTGAATATCAAAAAGCACTGTGCCGAAAAGAACAGTTCATCAAGCACCTAGAATTTAATATTGACTCCTTAACGCAAGATTTGGAGAATAATAAAATACACGTTAAATGCACTAAATCAAATTTGCATGAATCGAATGAATTAGAAGCGTGTAAAAATAAATTAGAAACACTTGCTAACATAGTAGCAAATATGACGTGTAAGTTTGCAACAGCTGAATCATCATATCAACATGAAATCACAGAAATGAGGTAAAATTTATTATACAAGTCAGATATAGGATATTAGGTTTAGTAATAAATTAACATATCTGACTTACATACTTTTTCGCAAATTTTTTTGGGCTATTTATTTATCGTATATTTTTGTATATTTTTATTGTTATTATATTTTTTAAATTGTTTTTTTTTTTTAATTATCTTCAAAGCTTATCAAAGTGTTACCAAGCAATATTTCATATGACTTAGTTGGTTTTAAGTTAATATCGAACATTTTTATACTAATTAATTAATAAATAATAAATAAAACAAGATGTCTCATAAAGTTTGACTGTATTATAGAAGTATTTGTATTGGAAACTTTACTTTATCTCTAAAAATCTAAAAATCAGTAAATATTTTTAGAACATCTCGTTAAATTTATTTTACATATTAATGAATAATTGTTTATTAAACCAAGTGAAGATTACATTTAATTTTATATTTAATTTAACAATACAGAAAGTAAGGTCCAAAAAATATTTTTTCTTAAACTAGTTTTTTAGTAACTTCGAAATATTTAACGCTAATATATATAAGAAAAAAGCTAATATTACGTTTACATAGTCGGCATAGTTAATATTTTTGTTTAGTACAAAATCATGAGTAAAATCTTTATTTAATGTACAGGTATACGATTCAAGAAAAAGATAAATTAATAGATTCATTAAAACTTAAGCTAATTCATCAGCCAGATACGACGTACAACTTGATGAGCAATTCAACAGCCGAAGTTGACGAAGGTTTATTATACGATTACAATTGTAAATAGTGAAAAAGAAGAAAAAAAAACCTATTTTTATTTATTTGTTTTTGCTAAATATTTTGTATGTAAATTGTATGATTTTTTTATGGCCATTCCCTAAAACTGTGCGAATTCAGTTTTAGCGCTAAATTCAAAATTCTATGGTGGTGCTTTGGTACTGGTTAAATGTCTCCCAAGAGTACTATTTTTCTGATTTCTATTTTAGTCGCAAACCTACCAAATGTATACACAAAATTTCATTAAAATCGGTTAAGCCGTTTTGGAGGAGTATGGTAACAAACACTGTGACACGAGAATTTTATATATTCGATATATAATATAAATTATTGATAAAAATATCAACAATGTTTAACAATTTGTTTTATTTTATCATGATTTGAATCTATAATCGTATTTTTTTAATCACCTAGTTGTTTAATATAGGCCAAACCAATTTACAATGCTGGGGTGGATCTGAATCCTGATTTAGGGGGGGGGGTGAATAGGAATATTTATGAGTGATATATGGAGTACAATGAATAAATAACCGTTATTTAACCAATTTATTGAAAAATAAGTACAACGTTTAATTCAAATAATTAACTAGGTAAGTACCTACAAAAATTCACTATTCAAAAATATTAATTACAATAGTAATTTACTATTTCTTTTTTTTTCATTTGCAAACTTATTAATGACTTCTTCTATATTTACAATATAATATATATATATATATATAAAAAATATTAAATAAATCTGTAAAAAAAAGCCCAAGGGGGGGAGGCGATTGTTATGTTCTCAAAACATTTCTACTTTTAACCCTTTCGCAAAAAATACATAAGAAACTAAATCATCGGTATGTATTTATATTTAAATTCATGTTTAAAGTATTTAAATATATATTAAATAAAGAATTAATTAGATATTAAAGTAAATTATACCTACATTTATACTTATCAACTCAGTAAAATAGTTTAATTCAATACCTATCTAATTACATTATTGTTCATCATCAAATTCAAAAAACGAAAAAAAATGTTTAAATGGTTATTATATGCAATTAAAAATAAAAATGTATAAAAATTAAAATATATACACCTTCAACATTTTTATCAGGTTTATCCTGATATAAAAAAAAACTATTGAGTTACATGGTATGGACCTAATTGTACACGAAAAATTGGACCTAATTATTCAGCAAGATAGAGAAAATTTTATTACAAAAGCTAGTGAATTAAGTATTAATGACACATATATTATAGATAATAATCCTCCAATCGAGCCTTGAAAAGTTAAATTTGATGATCATATTTTTAATAAAATTATAAGTCTTCTATATTATTAAATTCTTTACAATTTGAGTTGTGCAGATTAAATGTTTATCATTGATTGATGGAAAATATATTAAAATAATAGTAAAACGGATAATGGCATTGTCATTTACTCCAGAAATATTGTGTCACTTTTCCTAGAACGGTCGTGGAAACAAAAAACACTCTTTTGAAAAGATACCTACTTATTTACAAAGTTTTATTTGATAAGAACAATCAATCACTAAAATAATTTTAATTTATTATAAATTTAAATACTATTGTATTTAGATTCTGGGAAAAAAATTAAAAAGTTTATCACACAGAACAATGTAACAAATGAAATCGAACAAGTAATAAAGTATGTATGTTCTCAATAAAATTAAAAAAAAAATAGTAATTATTATTTTTTATTAAGTTAATAATTTTAAATCATTTCAGTTTATGATTTTTAATCTTAACTTATAATCTGTTAATTATTTTAAAATGTTTTGAAATCGTATGTTTTATACTATAAAAATAAATAAAAAAAATTTTTTATTTTTAAATTCGTATCTTTTACAATTTACTCCCGTTTATTTTCAAAATGCACCATTGTTATACTTAATAATAATTCCAATAAATACAAGAGATCCATAGCACTACAAAAAAGTAACGAAGCAACACTTGTTTAAAAATACTTGTTTTCAATCAATATTTTTCAATTAAAATTTTGATTTCCCTTGAAATTTTCTGCTTGGGAATTAATTCTGGGAAAGACGGTTTCCGAGAAATTTTTATCTAGATCCTCCCCAGTAAACCTAACCCTCCGGCTTTCACGTAGTATATATGTGCTCAGACACGCATGGGAGATAGATAGATCATCAGTGTTCTATTAATAGCATTAATAGCATTTACTTGGAAACTAACGGAGCGGACGAAAAGTATACGAATGTGATTATCGAACAAAATCTTGTCTCAATGTACACGACAGACGGCTCTAGGTTAGCACGAGTAATAATGCAGTTGGATTAAATAATTATAAAAAGTATAATTATTTAATCCAACTGTAGATAGTTAATCTACTAATATTATTATAATACGTATTTTAATTTAAAAAACAATATGTGCCGCCAAAACTAAAAATATTCTCAACCACAGTTTAAACAAGAAAAATAGATAAATAAATTGCGCGACTGCATGACGATGAAATTATTCCGCACACTTTCCTTTATTTTTTTATTTTTCCATTATAGTACCTGCCGTTGATTTAACATAATAGTATAAAAATTAATAATCAATCAATAACAGTACCGAGTATTGAGTTTCTTCGCATAAACTTTTAAACTCGAAGTGTAAGATTATCAAATCGTCAACTGGAATTTATTAGCATACCCTACCGTTGTTGTTACATCGTCCCGACTTATTTCAAGTCGATTTTTATTTTTCCCCCATTCGTTTGCCGAACTGTCTCTACAGCTGGAACACGAGTGCGCAAAACAAGTCTACGACGTTTGCCACGCGAAAGTATAATAAATTAATAGTTACCAATATCATAGTTGCGTTAAATACGGTAAAATATGCCGTGGACATTGCATTGTCGATGTAAGAATATTATCGTTTAGGATGTTCTAATAATATAATATTTCGTTTTAACGATCGTCGATCATCATGGTAAATTGTTGATTTCCGTTCGTTCATTCGTCTTGAGTTCGTTATCATTTGATGTCAGTTCAACCTTGGCTTATCACTATTCGCCCTTTACGTCCCATCCGGAAGACCTTGTGCACAGCAGCAGCTATCATCTACACAGTAGTCGTGGATAACCTAACACAGAAAAAGAATATTAAATTAGTCATGACCGAAGAGGCAAGTTAAGAACAGTTTTTCGTTCCATTACGCGAGACTTCGAGAACGTGCAGTCGGTAAGTGTTGGCGTACCAAATGTCGGTGACATTTTTTATCAACGGCTTGATCGTCTGGGATGCCATTTGAGTGTTGGAAAACCAAAAGAACTCTTATATATATATGTATATATATGTTTATACGCAGAGATGTCTTCATTTTTAATAGAAATCGATAACGGCTCAACGAAAAACAATAGTTTTCTGTTTTTCATCGACCTACTGTTTTATTATTTTTTCTCAGGGCACACAAGGCTGATAGGGTATATAGAACAGCAGCATAATGGCAGACGATAAAAGTAAAAAACTTTCTCGATGGTACTTTGGTGGTCTTGGTTCAGCTGGTGCTGCCTGTTGTACGCATCCGTTAGATTTACTCAAGGTAAATGTTTTTCTTTTTATACCTACCTATAACAGTTATTTTGACTCGTGTTTATAGGTACATTTACAAACACAACAAGAAGGAAAAGTATCAGTCAGCCGCTTAGCCATGAAAATTGTTCGAGAACAGGGTGTGTTCTCTTTGTACACAGGTATTTCAGCATCTTTGTGTCGTCAATTGTCATATTCAACTGTGCGATTTGGAATATATGAAGTAAGATGCTAACATGTGTATATATTTACAAATGTTCATGGGTCACATTTAATTTAAGGTTGGAAAACAATCTTTATCTACTCCAGGGGAAAATATTCCATTCTACAAGACTGTACTGTTGGCTTCAGCCGCAGGAGCTGCTGGTGGTTTTGTTGGTACCCCAGCTGATATGATTAATGTTCGAATGCAGAATGATGTTAAATTGCCATTGGAAAGCCGTAGAAAGTATGAATGATTTTAAAAATTTTAAAATGATGAATCAATAATATATAATAATATATAAGTACCCATGTAGATACAATGAAATTCATAATGTTCTACATTTTTAGAAACATCAATTATTTTTTATAGTTTTTTTTCCTAACTTAAGTAGATACTGTCAATTGAATATTCCATCCATCACTTTTTACCTAGTTCATTTTACTTTCTATCATCATATAACTATTTATATGTTATTTAAAAAATTATGTGTTATGATAAACTATAGTCTTATAAAACATTTTTTAAACAGTTGCAGTAATTATATTAATCAATTAATTTTATATTTAATTTAAAATGTATAAATAATTAATATTCTAATAAATTGTAGATAATTTTTTTATTTAATCTATTTTAACTTTGTATGTTAATGATTTATTTTCAATATATAAATATATAAATATACTTTGGGGCATTAACTTATTATATTGTTATTATTATAAATATACTTCACTTAAATGTAACCAAATCTTCAAACTTATATCTAGTTTTACTAAAAGTAAATGTATTATTTGATAATTTTAGCTACAAACATGCATTTGATGGGTTTGTGCGTGTTTGGCGAGAAGAAGGATTTACCAGATTGTTTTCAGGTGCATCAACAGCTACAATGCGTGCCGTTTTAATGACAGTTGGACAGCTATCATTCTATGATCAAGTCAAACAATTATTACTATCAACTGGATATTTTGGTGATGATTCTACTACACATTTTTTGTCTAGTCTTACCGCTGTAAATAGTTTGAAATGTAACTTATATCTGATCTTATTGTGATTTTTATTGTTTTTGTGTTTGTAGGGTGCTGTGGCAACAACCCTTACTCAACCACTGGATGTATTAAAAACTCGAGCTATGAATGCTAAACCCGGAGAATTTTCAGTATGTAAAATTTAAATTATTATCTAGGTTAAATGTTTTTAATTTTAACTAAATACATTTTTAGGGTACTCTTGATCTTGTTAAATATACTGCAAAGCTTGGTCCAATGGGCTTTTTTAAGGTATGTTTATTTTAATTTTGTAAAATTAATTATTCTATTATTGTTCTTTATATTTAGGGTTATATACCGGCATTTGTGAGATTGGCTCCTCAGACAATACTTACATTTGTCTTCTTAGAACAATTAAGATTAAACTTTGGCTACCATAAGACTCCTGCAATAAAGGTTTAGTCATGTTATGGAAGTGGTTGGTAGAGAATAATTATGAAATTGGTCTAATTTTCTTGTCTGTTCTGTATTTTAATTAATCTTTTCATGGCATTTTAGCTTCATATTCTTAATATCCGTATTGTTTTAACAAACAACTACTAATAGGTTTTAATGAAACATAGTATTTTATGGTAGATGGCTTATTATTTATTTACAAATAGAGATTAGTTTTATTATTCAATATTTTTGTAAATAAAATCTGGCTCAGGTAACCTATAGTATTTGTATCCAAAGCAATATAAAATTTAAAATACAATCAAAATCTTTATTTTTTTTATTTTTATATTGTTATTGGAGTTATTTAATTGATAAGTACAATAGTGAGTACATTTTTTTTTAGAGACGAATTGGTGTTAGATCTTATTAATTTTATATTTCACATCTTATTCTATTTTGGTTCTGCTACACTTCCCAATATTTTTACATAAACACCAATTTTTTTTTTCGTAACTTTAGTTTTTTGTTATATTTTTATTTTTATTTCTAATAGTCCATTAATGAAGGTTAATTCTTGAAATGTCCATTCTCAAATAGACAAATACAAATCTTAATAAAGTGACTATGAAAACAATTAATTTTGATATTACATTTTACCTTTTGTCGATATTTATTATTTTATTTTAAGAACAAAAAAATTGTTTTTTGAGAGGATTAATAGTTCTGGACAATTTTTACATTTAATTTAGTTTGGAATTTGAAATTTCATTAAATTTTTTATTTGACTATAGTCAATTTTTGAGACCTAAGTCTAAGAGTTTGGAATATCTTTGGTGTTCGCTCGTATAGAAATTATTTTGAATTTCATTATATTTTACATTCATGTTAGGAATTAATCAGTAATCCATATTTTTAATTTCTGAATGTTTCTTGATTTAATATTTTTATGTTAAAAGAGACTAATATTTGAGTTCTTCCAAAGGTTGCCAACTTATTATATTTGATAATAAAACATTAATAATTCTAGTTTTATAATTATTCAATACAGCTAGTTATTATTGAAAAAATATATTATGACTATTTCCATAGTAATAATTTAGAGTTAATAATTCTCAACCTGGGCCTAATTCTAGTCTTGAACAAAATTATTTAATGTAAAATTTATTGGACCTAAATGTTGTTAATTATTTTTTTAAATAGAATTTGAAATAAGAAGTTTTGTACTTTTTTAAATTGTTAAAATTGTTATTATATTTTTTAAATTTGTTTATTATAAATAAGTTTAGAAATACATTCCCAAACAAATTATTTTTATATTTGATTTATCTTCATCCAAAATTTATAATTTTGTTTTTATTATATGAATTTGTTCATATACTCAATATTAATCAAATAATAAGTTTGTATTTACCAATAGCTATGTATAATTAATAAATTACCAAATTGATCAAATTCATGTAATAATTATATAAAACTTAAAATTTTAGCAATATAAAAAAAAAATGTTAACCATTGTTATAAATTATAGTGTATTTTAAACAATAAATAAACAATAGTTTTTATTTTGAAAATTGTTAATTAGTTTTTCTGGAATATGTGTTAATGATACAATTGACTTACCTAACAGTTAATTTTTGAAGTTTAATTTTTCAATTTCTTCATTGTAAATATTAATTTAATATTGAGCTATTGATATAAACATAATCACAAAAAAGTAATGACTTCAATAGTTACCAAATCCTTAGCAATAAATATTTTAATAACAATTATTTATTCTATACCAAGTGTTCAACAATAATAATTTATAAAATACAAAATTTTTCAGTGAGATTAAATTTAATTGACATTTTTTAATTGAAAATATAAGAAAATACTGATTTGGAATTCTGTACAATACAACTTTAATTTTATAAAATTGCAATTAATTAGATTTTTCTTGAATAGATATTTTCTTACAAAGAGATTTTAAAACGATGTATTAAAATAATGTAGATCCTAGAATTAAAATAAAGGTAGTTTTACCAATGATGTATTATTATTTGAATTTGAAAGAAAACCAATAGGTACATTTGGATTTATATATTTTAATAAAGACATAAATATAAATATTAATGGTAGAAAGTGTTATGGCTCTTATTCTGTTAACTATAAGATTAAAACTATGTAAATTATGAACCAGGATAACTAATAAATAGGCTTACACAATTACACAAATAGAATAAAAATAGTTAAAATACAAGTTGTATTGAGTAAATAATCTTCTTGATACATAAGAAAAAGTGTTAGTTCTAAATTTTTACTAGTATTGCGTAAATTAATGAATATTGTTTTTTTTTACTAATACATTAAATTATTGTAAAATATATTTTAAATTATAATATATTGTTAAAATTTAATAAATAAATATATCTAAGAAAAGTAGGGTACCTCTAATTTTTTTTATCACTGTCATATAATATTTTAAGTTTCATCAATTGTTGATTGAAAAAATATGAAAAATAGTACTATTTTCAGTGTTATTTCAACACTTGATATTGTTTTATTCAATATATATATAGATTAATTTTTCATTATGATAGCATATAAGTTCTTAATAAAATTTTGATTATTTTTATGATTTCATTTTTTTGAATATTATATACTATAAAATTAAATACTAAATTATTATATCCTTGTTTTATTTCATTGTTAAAAATAACCGAAACATAATATTTTTATTCAGAATTTGTTCAAATATCTATATAGTACTTTAATATACAAATAAACCTAATTAACAAAATTGTCAAAAAACTATAATATATCTATATTTATAAGAATGTACAATAATAATAATAATTAATAATTATTATTAAATCATTAATTTATAAAATAGGTATGTGGGGGGAAAATAAAATAAAATCGTACAAAAAAGAATATTTGAAATTGTTTATTATACAACAATTTCATAATCAAAGATGGATGATTTGAACTCAACTCATTATTTTAAATTTTGTATTTAGAACCTCGAGGCCCTTCTGGAACTCAGGGTCCGTGCCATGGGGTCACTTACCCCATTTGGTTTTTATGATATAAAAAGAAAGAGCTTTTAACAATACTCAGCACCCTGGACTATTATGTCTCCGTCCATCATTATTTGAGGTGCCTATGCTAGAATAAAAAAAAAAAAAAATGAGGGCCTCGGCAGCATTCGCTGCATCGCTGTCCTGGCCAGGCCGTCACTGCAGGTGGGGTAGAGTGTATCATATCATTGTATATTAAAAAATGTGTGGTACGAAATTTTATGAAAAATAGGGGCTGGATTAATTAATTAGTTAATTTACATATATTTTAAAATTCGTATAAATATAAAATATTGACTATATAAAAATGCGTTCAATGACAACAGTTAATGTCGTTATTAGGAAAACGCAAGAAATCTGAATTGGGTCAATGAGATATTTAAGAGCTGGGCTGTGGCGTCCTGGGTTTCCTTAGTTTCCTTATGTGTCACCTGTTCGTTCAATATCGTGTATTTGTGAGTACATATTAATACCGATTATTGAGTTTATTTCCGCCGACGACGAACATATTCATCGATATAAAACTATGCAGCTACTGAGATACGGCCGTTCAAGCAGATATATTTACACAGTGTTAGATTGTTTAATAAAACGGTTTGAAGATATTTTGAGACAATAATTATTCAAACTTATTGTCAATATTATTTCAGCGTATTTATTAATATTTTTTCATGTACATGCGTGTATATAGTTGTGTATGGATTGTGGGTAACGGCGAACCGTTACAGACGTCGATGGCGAGTTGCGATTTGTCAAGGTAATTTCGAAAAATGTACTTGTATAGTTGTCCGTGTGTTGAGAATATATGGTCGCGGAGCGTAAACAATTCCGCTCCCCTCCTCGCGTCCATTGCGGTGAATATATAACGTTGCAGACGATCGCGAGTACAAGTAGAAAGTGGCGGTTTGGTATCCGCCCGCTTAGGTGTTTAGAACTTGCGAAAGTACGTGGGCTGCGAGGAACGAACACGCGTTAACGAAAGCGATTGGAAATCGGAGGAAACAGCACGGAAGCCGGTACGGGCGACGGGATTTCGTCCCTGGAATGCGTGGCAGCCGACTGTGTGTTGATAGGTGGCAAGCTTCCAGCTTCCTTTTCCCAGTCAAAGGCCGCCAAACTCTCATTGCTGTAACATGACGAGCATGAACTAAACGCAAACATCCCAAGTTCTATTCCGTGTAAATACTAGGTACATGTAGTGACGTATACAATTGGGGATGTAGGTGTCAAATCCACCCTTAGTAATTTTTTTAAATGTTATAAAATAATTTTTTTTTTGTATAAGGGCATTAAAAACGTAAAAAAAAAATTATGATAAAAAAAAAATAACGATTTGTTTGCAAATGATCCCTCCCCATACAAAAGTTATGTATACGCCACTGGGTACATGGTTACCAAACGTGATATGGGTACGGGGTACGTTTATAATATTGTCTCGCGTTGGGTACGTCGTCATGGGTTTTAATCGTTTCGAAATGAAAAAAATGTAAATGTGTGAACTTTTTTCCGACAATAATTTCCTCCTTTAATATTTAGCTCCGGACATCGAACGCATTGCAATTATAATCTATGCCGCTATAGTGAACCTTTTTCGACCGTTTAACGTTTATCTATGTATGCAATGACCAACGGGAGTCACGCTAACGTACGCGATGCAAAGGTTAATTATTTATACCAAGACCAAGACAACCATTTTCACTCAGAACAGTTTACCATACCATCAGTAATATATATCTGAAAGAATTTTTGCAGGAAATTCTAGAAAAAAAAAATAGTTCTAGAACTGCTCGCCCGTCATTTGAGCTGATTTATCAACACCGTTATAGTAGTAATGATTACAATATGAATAGTGTGTGTATGATATTATGGTGTGTAATATTTTATAATGTATATTAAATAATATATTCAGAATACGTTATGTTTCTACAAATTTTAATTATGTTCTATTTATAACATAAGTCCGAGTACTCAAGAGTTTTGTTAGACTAAAATTATTCCACCGTTACGTTGAATTACTTTACAATGATAAAAAAAAATAAATAGTTAATTGAATAACAAATAGGAGTCAAGATTGGTACGGCAGTGGAAGTCCGAAAGATGTTTTAGTAATTTAATATTAAATTTTAAAACGTTTATCTTACAGTATCCATTATGATCAGAAAAATACTTAATGGCGTTCATTTTTTTAGATTATGCTACAATCGCGTTTTAAAATGAAAGCGGCTTATCTATGTAGAATGTAATAATGTCGTTATCAAATGCGTATTCATTATTGTTATTTTTACATTTTTATTTCGAAACAATTAAAAACCGCCATGTTCGGGGAAATTAAATATAATAACAGATTTAACAGAAATAATCTGTACGTATCTACTAGGAGCGTTTTTAGGGGGGGATTGCCCCCTCTGAATTCGTATTTAAGGAATCGATTATATGTGAGAAGCACATTTCAAATGTTTTTTAATGTGTATCGTTTTATAACAAAATCGAATCGGTTAACAATTTTGATTTTCTACAAAAATGTTTGTCATAATCAGGGTTGGGATTTTATAGTATTTGCATATTTCTTATGAGATGCTTGAAAAATAACAGAGCTAAAAATGTGTTTCATGATACAGAGAACTCAAATAAAAAATTTATTTTGCTTTTTTTTGCATATTTTGCGTTTTTTAGTTTATAGGGCTTTTTTTGGATTTTTTGAGACTTTTTAGACTTTTACCTGTGTTTTAATCAAAATCGGGCATATTTTATGAAATTGTATTTTGGTAAACATGTTTTTTGATTTTTGTTAATCGAATTTTCAAGATTCAAAATTTTAATTTTAATTTTAAATTAAATTATAAATGTATAGATTAAGTAAATAGACCGATTACGCTGATGCAACTCTGTAAAATTACAGCGATAATATATAGGTAGGTATAATATAATACAATAATTTTGTTTTAGTTATTTGGTTCTAATTTTTGTTATATGCTGATTTTATTGGTTTTTTTGTCGATTTCTACTAAATCTACTAATAGATTATCAACGAATGAGTGTAGAATTCGCTTTATATAGTCCACATTCGTTTCGTGTGCTTGTATAAAATTATAAAATTATAAAATAATAAATTTTGTTTTTTTTTTGTTTTTTTTATTGCATACTTTTAGAGCTTATTTAGCGATTTTTAAGGTAATATTACAGCGCATATTTATGCAATTTTAAGTGCTATAAAATCCTAACCTGGTCATAATATACAAATGAGTGATAAGAAAAATTACTGAAAAACATATTGAAATATAATAATTGAAGGCGAACGGACGCGTATGATGATGTATTTTTTATATTTGATCAGTATCAGTACCAATGATCAGTGATCACGGTCAATGTTGAATGCAATGAATTGGGCTTTTTGTCGGGTCCATACTCAGTGAAAACTCAAATAAAGCACGAGCGTAACTTTCAAAACACAGACAGGTGTTAAAAAGAACTATACAAAAGTCGATTGTAAGTGGATTCAGCATTAGGTTAAAAAAACCACAAATATGAAGGATTAACCTGATTTAAATATTACCAACAATTTTACTTGTAAATTTTGAGCCTGAATTAAAGAAAAAATTTGAGCCCCCCCCCTAGAAGTGAATCTAAATATACTCCTGGTATCTATGCATATAAAATATATTAAGAATATCATGTACTTTATGAATGATTAGTTATGTACCTTGAGGTGGTACCGAGTCTTGATTCCGGTGTTATTGCGTGACCGCGACTTTCCACGGTTGGCGGCACGGTGTACTTGTTTTTATCCGATCTATCGTCAATTGTCGTTTTTTCAAAACTGAAATTTTGATATGTATGTAATTAATATATAAATTAAATATTATATCAAAGACACGTGTCGATTGTTAGTACAATGGCACTCGGGATCGTGATTCAATACTGTTGCACTTGAAGTGACATATTTTTGGCCCCTCCCAACCATCCACTATATATCTATTATCAACAAACGTAGTTACTACTGTCGTTCAAAATAAGTTCTTGTAAACGAACGATCAACAGGTAATGTCGTATTTGTAATCTGTGCCACTTAATCGAATCATTGCGATGAATGTCAAAAACATTCATCAATATATAATGCGTGTAGACATAACTTAATTTCAAATTTTCAATAAAAAAAATATGGTGAGAAGGATACTTTACAGGTTCGAATTGCTCAACACGCGGTCACTCGATAGACAAGAGAGTGTTACTATACCTTTTGTCGATCGAATGCATGGCGGATGTCAAAGGTGTGGTGATGACGTCGGAGTTGTACGAGTTGGCGTGTATTTCTTGCTGGTACGACCGGTATAGATCTTTCAAATCGGCTGGCAACGGCATGTTCTGACCTGGAAAATGCCGATTGGCGCATAATACGGGGTCGAACAATATTGATTAGGCACTACTATGTTATTGTTAGAATTAAAATGGTTTTTGGATGCCACCATTGACTATAGATACTGGACAGCCGTCACCGTGGTCGGCACTTGGCGTTCGTGATCTACCGCGAAATTAAGATCGTTTCGTACGTTCCGTACGCCCACCCGATACGTGCATTTACATACCTTCGATGATTTGCCGCTGCTTCGTAATGATGTCGTCGGTGATGCGCTGTTGCCGGTGCATCCGGTGCAACAGGTCTCCCCTGCGGCGCAGCTCGTACGATTCGACCAGCCGTTCTCCTTGCAACGCCATCTTGTCGGCTTCCAGCTCGTGTACGCGGCATATCAGCGACAGCAATTCGCGTTCCGTTTCCGAGTCCAAACGTTTCGGGAGGTTCTGTAGAAGAGGAAACAACCGTTGCCGTTACAACTCAATAACAATATGTGACCGTCTACTGCACTAGGCCGTAATAGTTTATTTAAATTTTTTTTTCTTTTTTTACGTTTTCCAGGGCCACTGCTTGTTGCCGGACCGAATCCAATTCGCTAACCGTCTTGGACCTGAGTGCCACGTAACGCTCTTGTTCGTGTTCGATGTAGCTCAAGTCGGACCACGCCTGGTGCATGTTTAACTGGTCGTTATCCAGCGACTCCGCCGTGTCTGCAAACGTCACCACAAGATATATTATCACCGTACACGTATTTTTTTCGAACATTTGTACATATGATTGAATTATTTAGTTACGACTGTTTTCCATTATATGTTTCAGTCATGTAGGTTTAAAATACGTTATATTAATCATGAAACTACTAGGTCCAACCGACCAAGAAGATATTTTTGAAAGGACGATGTAATCGAGAGGGTGAAACGGATCAGGTGCGTTAACAGGAACGTTATTTGCAATAGATTATTAAAATTAAGAGGATTTTGACACGTATACACTACACTTGTTCAAATGTTCATTAATCGTTTGTTTATATATAGATAACGCATCGACATAAGATGTTTGCCCACTTGCGGTGCCGTTGGAACCCTTCGTGTTCGGTCTCCGCTGGTTGCTGGTCCTCCGGCAGTACAATTTGTTGTTTCTCGATTCCCACTGGCTGATGATCTGGTGTTGCCGTTCAGCTTCGACGCCCAGCGACAACAGGTGTCCATCGATGTCCATCAGTTTGCGCCTGTACAACGTCGCAACTATTATTATTATTATTATTATTATTATTTAGTACATCAGCCATTTCATTGGTTTCGTCCAAAGCACATATAGAGTACCTGAGTTTCATTTGTTCGCGGAACGTGCCCACTATTTGATCTCTAATTTGATTCACAGGTGTGTCACTGTGCACGCCGCTCGAAGACTTGGAACGACCCTCGTCCAGTTTTGTTCTCAGCCTAGATATCTCGTTGCGTAAATCGGCTATGACCGACCTGTATTGGTTTACCTGGAAGGACACGTTCAAAACGTTCCGTTCGACTTTATGCGAAATACCGCTGGCTCTGCAAAGCAATAATCATCGTATATAGGTTAAAGTTATGGATCGAGCGTCATCGGGTTTCAACATTTTGTGTAATATAAGTATATAAGTATATATAAGTGTAATATAACATCGTTTTGTGCAGGCACGTGTATCTGCATACAGTTGGATGTATATCAGTATCCGGTATCACTCACCTGGCAGCGTAAATCAAAGTGTTCCTGGTTTCGTCTTTATGCGACGCCGCTGAACTGACATGGGCGATCATGACGGTTCGGCAATTTCCGCTCAACGACTCGCGAAGCAACCGGGTCAACTTGCTGTCGCGGTAGTTCACAAATCGCGGATTCGTACCCCCACTCAGGGCATTTATGCAGTTTCCTAACGCCAGCAAAGATCTGTTGATGTGTGCCCCTTCTTTGAGTCGTTTACCTCGATTCTAAGAAAATCGTCAAGTAGTAAAATAGATATTAAAATAATAGTTATAATGATTCATTTGCTCCGTAAGTAGTTGGTTTTATCGATGTGGATTATTAGGGGGGTGGCCATTCATAGGAGTGATTTAGTTCAACCAAGTATTTTTTCGCGCCCATCCCAAACCTTATCGAACTTAAAATTATTTTTGTTTCGAAATAAACTAATAAAATATAAGGACTACGGTCATGTGTACTATATAGACGGAGAAAAACACTGAACCAACGAACAGTATTATAGTCGAGTTAAAATGTGTCATTGTTTAATTCGCACTGTAAAATAGATATTTTCTTATCCGTTATTGTTTAACTACATTCGAAATCATGTGTAATTATTGACGAACGGAAGAAACTGAATACGGGCTCTGATAACTTGTCTCTGTCACAATAACAGTGGACGGTAAACAACGATTTCGACGTTGCACAAACTTTGTTTTGCAGACACACGATTTGTAAAGTACCCGCTGTACTCGACTTATCTAGTTACGCGACTGAACATATTCAACCGTACACAATTGCCAGAATCGGACTAATACCGTACCTTGGTGTGGCTGGCTCTTTCGGAGCCCGCCAAGTCGATCATAAACAGTCTGCCCTGGCGCACCGCCGTTGCCGTTCTGGACGCCTTACACACCGTCACGCTGAGCAGCGCATGACTCCTGGAAGACGTCTTGTTCACCCCTGTCGGTTCCACCGTTCGCTGCCGGTTGCCCTGGTGCAGCAGTCCCATCACTTCCTCGATGGACACCACAACAACTTCCGACAGACCGGCCACTTGAATGTTACGGTTTCTAGACGTATCTTCCCGGAGTTCCAGGAAACCCGACGTCGGGTTCAATAGATCTCGGATGTTCTCGTTGTAAATTTCTAAATACGACATTTTCACCTACGCATCAACAGTTTTATTACTGTTTATCGTTAAAAATGTATTTGTTCCTAGGTCACAATCGAATAGGTTCTATACTACCAGTGGTGCAGTCCAGCGCATACATACGTGTGTAACACTGACGTATACTTACAAAGTATACAATTTATGATGACTACACAATTTTTTGGTCGATGCTCATAATATGATTTGTGATACTCAGTATCAGTTAAACCTATAGCAGTTAAACGTAATTTTGATATTTTTTCCACGCAAAAGTCAAAAATACCAAACAAGTTTCCTTGTCATTATGTTTAATTTATTTATAAATTATTCAATTCTCATCAATTATAGTGTAATGTGGTAATATATTATGTTGAACACGTTTATATAGATGTTTATTATTTATTAATGAATTTATTAATGGGTGGTGTTGATTTTTCAATTTTGATCAGTATCAACCGACACTAGTGCCAACTAATTATTACCGATTACGATTATAATCCGCAATCCGTTTACAGTGGTTTTAAATTAAACTTGAAAGTTTTGATGTAGGCGAGAATTATTTTATTATGTTTTATTATTATTTTATATATATAAATACTATTTAATATTTTTAAAATTATAAGTACTAATAAAAAGTTTGAATTTTGAATTTAAAAAAATAAATTATAGGGGGTGAGAATTGATTCTATCCACTATTTTTAATTACAATTTGCGTATACCTAAGACTTTTTTCTTTGCAATACATCGCCGTCTACTACCATAATCATATATAATTGAAGTATATTCAATAATTTGAGTATTTTTAAATCATTACAGAGATTTAATTTTTTAATAAAAATAAATGATCACAATATTATTTAATTAGTTTTGAAAAGATAAATATTTTAGTGTTATTTAGTAAGTAGTCAAAGTAAAAACATTATTTTACTAGAAGAATCATTTAACCATGAAATATTTAACGTAAAAATAATATACATACTTATCTATTAAATATTTAGGTATAGAATTTACTCTATAATTTTAATTAAATATATTTAGGGTATTATTTTACTTATTAAACTTAAAACTATTTTATATGAACAAATAATAAACTAAGAAGAATTATGTTGATGTTTTATATGAATCATTTTAAAATATATTATGACTTATGACTGTTTAATATAATTAATCAAATACGATAATACACAAAAATAAAAGTCCTAGTTTACATTTTTGATAAATCATAAATTATTCAGTTTTCATTTTTTATATTGAAAGTTTAATACGGATTACTAATATTGACTGTAGAACTGTAGACATATGATATATTAATAAGTCGGTTAAGAAAGTCATTTAACATTTGACATTTATTAATTTCTAATTTTACAATAATGTCAAACTATTACTTTACAATTTATTACCAAGACCTTTCTATAATTGTAAACAGTTACACTTTATACTGATAAATGAGACAATCATATTTTTTTTTTATATCATTTATTTTTCTTATTATTATCAAAAACAATAAATTAAAGTAATACATGAAATTAAAATATCAAAAGCTAAATAAAATATAAGGCGTTGAAATTTTTTTTTGCTGATTTAAATATTGATTTAAACGAGTTAATGAAGATTGATATAAAACATTAAAAAAAAAAAAATTCTAAATTGCCGGAGTTGTAGGTACCAAACATTTGACTACGTTTTGTTTTAGCAGAAAATTGGAATCCATATTTAATAGATTATGAATTAAAATTTAATAATTTACTAAGTAGAAATTAAAATCATTAGTCCTTTGGGGTTTGTCCAATTTATATAGATTCATCATGATTTGAAGGAATAATATCGTAAATAAACACCATATATTTTATGGTTAAATTATACCTGTTACATAATCTATACATTTGTGGAATTTCATATTACATCGAGGTTAATTTTTTTTCACTTGAACACTAAATTATTCCTAAAACGTTTAACGTTGTTAAACACTATATGCACATGTCAAGAATGTAAATAATTATTCAATATTCACACATCGAGTGTTTTGTAATTTTGAGAGGTCAACGAATATGATGCATACAAGATAATTTGATAGCTAATAAAATAAGGACTAATAAATAATTGAAAAAAATACTTTAACTCTTATCTTGTTATCAACATTTTAAGTTTTTTTATAACTATTATTTTCTGAACCCAAATAAAATAATAATAAAAAAAAAAAAGCGAGTGCATAAATGTTATTGATTACGTGATTTTTTTAAAATTAATTTTTTCACCATCACTTCTATCCTAATCAGGAATTGTGTGTTACAAGTAAAATAATTATTGTACTTAGTACAATCTATTTTTTTTATTTTTTAATTATTCAAATATAATATATTTTGAAAAATCTACACGAGAGTTATAATTCTGACACTAAAAATATCCGGAAAAATATTGAAACCGTAGAAAAATATAAAAATATAAATAATACTTGAGTTCAATAATTATTGAGTCACTTGGTAAAGCTATGTCTCGATGATGAGTTATTCAGTTATGGTTATAAGTAATAAGTTATAGTACGATTGAAAGACTTGTACTCTTTGAATATTTAGTTGATAACTTATATTTGGTTAACATAAATTTCTTAGAACACAAATGCGAACACAAGAGGAGGTAGGGGTTCAACCCCCCCGATATATCAGAAAAAATGTGTTGAGAAAATTACCAAACCTACAAATTCAAAATTTATTTCAAAATTTCCCTTATGACTTGCAAATAAAATATATAAATATATATAATGAGTAATAAATTATGCTGTTTATCAACATTTTTTCAAAACCCTTTCCCCCGAAATTTTTTCCTGCGTTAGCTCTTGTAGGCAGCTCCTATATTTTAGTGAACCCCGACACCAAGTGTGTAGTCTGAAATGGGAAGTGTGTACCTATTAAATACTAATAAATAAAATACTATGAAGGTATTTTTCAGGAAACCAGTTTAAGCAAGACAGCTGATGAGGACTCAAATATATTTATTAAATTTTAAATTATATATCCTACATTAAAATAAATAATTTGTAAATAGTTTTCTGATTTAAACCAGTTAAAAGTATATTTATCAATTTAAAAAATAACAGATTCGTAATTACCTAATTATAATGCGAAATTTTATTAATAAAGAGAATTGTTACTAAAAATCATAATCATATGGAAGGGGTAGAGGAGGGCTCCGTATCATATACATAATTGTACAATAAAACGTGTATTATGAATTTTTATGAAAAATTGGGGCTGCTTGTAGGTACACTTTATAGTCTACATTGGTAAATTGTACTGACATTTTACAATTGAAAATAAAAATATTATATTTGATTAGTAATTCAAAATTTAAAATTACAATGATTTTTGTTTTAGTAATAATAAGTGCATTATCGTATTTGATTACAATTGTAATAAAAAGTCATGTTCCACTAAATAAATATGCTGTTATGTATGAGTCTTCAACTAATTTTTTCTATGCTGTTTATTAGCCATAAATCTAAAAATAAACACATATTAAAACCTTAGTCATCGATGACTAAAGAAATTACAAGATATATTTATATAGAAGCAGATTATGAAGTATAGTAATGACAGCAACAACTTTTAAAAAGTTGTCATACTAACAGAAAAATATGAAGTTTATTAATCATAAAATATCTAAGGTTATTAAGTAAAACATATCTCAACTTTAATAAATAATTAGTTAAATGTATGCATACCTATATTTGTATTATGTGTCAATAGTTTAAATAGTAAACAATTATTTTTATTTGGAATATTTTATTATTAAAAATATTGAATACATTAAAATATAAAACTTATTTACTGTGTTAAAGTACATAATTTTTAATATTTTATATTTAAAGTATAAACATTTCATAGCTAGACATAAATATTTTTATATCATTAGTATGCGATTGATTATCATGAAAAATACTAAAAAATTCGAGGTATTGAAAAGGATTAGTTTAAAAGTTTATGCTATGGCAGTTCATCAACCGTATATTTTGAGTCCCCCTTTAAAGAAAGCTGATTTCAATTGGTATATTTCAATTTTATATAAGTTCACATAAAACTTGACGTTTGATTATTTGTATTTTTATTTAGTAATAACTATAATAATAATATATACTAGTATTACACCTATATTTGATGGTTTATTTTTGTGAATGATGAAAATCGACCATGGCATATATACATGTATTTAATTATGTAGTGTTAAATTATTTTTATACGTATAAAAAAAATAAATTTCGAATAATACAAGTTTGTTAAGTCATAAGTCAGTTATTAAGTATTATAAGTACTATCTGTACGTATTTGAAAAATTGACAATTTATTGGCTTAAGCTCCATAATGATGTTCCTGTTGATATTTTTATTTCTACGTTTATATCGATATAATAAAAACTTTTCCTTTCTACAATACATTACAGTATTCATATTATATTGTTATCGTTTACTCACCGTATACCGGTAAGCATTTTTGCTCACTATATCAAACAAATCGCTGATTGCTCGGACCATAATACCCGTCTCTCCACCATGCCCAACCATTGTATGGGTCTTACCACTGCCTGTCGCTCCATAAGCGAAAACGGTAGCATTGAAACCGACAAGTATATCTTTGACCAAGCTTTTCGTCGTTTTCTCGTACACTTCGTCCTGAACAAAAAATTCGGTTCAGATGGGAGTATCAAATTAATTTTATAATTTTAAATGAATTTTAAACCGTATGGTTAGTATAATATATTTATATTATAAACCGTGTTCTTTCATTTGATTATATTATGTACATTATAAATATAATAAAATATTTAAAAACACACAAACAAAATTAATTTTGGACATTTAAAATAAGTTTAAATTTTACAAATTTCATAATCGATTTTTATTTGTATTTAATAGTATATTGCATGTATCAAATATAATTCTTATTGAGCATTGACATTTAACTTTTAATTTATTAATTGTTTTACTTGTGTAGAATCTTCGCCAAAAACTGCATCAAATTCATAACGTTTTTGTCCAGTGCGTTTTTGCCGAAGTACGTCATCTTTTTCTTTTTCTGTTTCTTCGACGACAATAGTCTAATAACATAATGAATTAGTCAGTATCAAAGTCAACAAAATAATCATAACGGGTTTTTATTTTATACTTCTAAAGGTTCTGATTAATTAACTTATTTTATTATTATTATAGTTTCTAATAATACTATCAATAGTTTTTAATGTTTTGACATAGGTAATTCGACTTTTGAGCAGATTGATAATTTGAAAAATTAAAGACATTTTTGTTTAAATGCAATTTATTTGTTAGATCAATAATATTTAATTAATAATATTATTAAATTTAAAAGTGTGCTTATTTTTATTTTATTTTTGAAATACTATTATTATCCATTAGTAACTATAAGAAAAAATGCACTTTAACATGTAGAAGACTATAGTTTCTTTTTATATTTTAATATAAACCTTAATAAATTAGAGTTAGATAATTGCGGAGTAAGTAAAGTTAGAAAAATCTGATTACATGAACATAAAACATTAGTGTATAAGAAAACTAAACTAAGTTAAATTAAATTACTAGTTTACTCATTTCCTTAACCGTAAAATATATTCATAGCAATATAACTTGCAGTGACTATATTAATACTGTATATTGTAACATTGTATATTTCTATTTAACTTTAAAATATACTATTGGGTAGTTAGATATTAGGGAATATTCAAGTATTATATCTTACTTTAACGTTTTTCATACACCCTCCCCTCCAAAAAATTCTTTTATTCTCATTAATTATTAAAATAAATTTATGGATTTCTTAATAAAAATTCATATTTTATTTCCATAGTATAAAATATAATATAAATACGTCTTCTGCCCAAGGATTTGTTGATCACTGCGAAAGATTTTCAATGACTGCAAGTCCAATATGAGTTCAAAACGTCACTGTAGTGGATCTATAATAGTGGGTAGTGAGAGGACCTTTCCTAGTTTGACGACAATTTACTGACTTTCACGTAACTTTTATGTCACGCCCTGTAAATGCTGTCGGTAATTCATCAAGTTTTGTTTTTTTTCGTGCGTTAGATCGAACTTTGATAGACATATTGTTAACATAATATCTATTTGAAATGTAGATCGTCGAATCCCTCCCTTGGTCTACTGACGTAATACTTGAACGCTCCTTTATGGTTTTATTTTTTTTATAAGTATTTATAACAATTTTTAATTACTATGTGCCTAATGAGAATATTGATAATTTAAATGGAGTGATATTATTCGAAAACTAAATGGGTTGGTTGCATTGAATATTGATTATAAACACTTGAAGAAATAGCGTATGAAAAATAATATGTACATCCAAACGTTTTATGCACAAGTATAATATCGCGAATGGCTTTATTAAAACAAACGAACCGATAAGCTCATAAAAAATGTATTCACTCACACCGACTGCTTGTTACCTACACATTCAATTCATATGGAGTGCAGCGCTGGGCGTTGAACTCCGATGGTTACGCGATACTCGTCAGAAACGACGAATATCCTTTCATATTTTTTTTTTCTAGTTAACGGGCAAATATTTTATTTTTTTACAAATACCAACCACAGTGTGCTGTAAAGAAAAAAAATTGTAGCAATAAGACGAATGTCTTATTCCGTGGTTTCAATGTTATTAAAATACACCAGTGTTTCTTAAATTTTTTGAGATCACGGAACACCAAACAATAATAATTTTTTATTTTTGCAGAACTCCTATGGAAATTATTTTCAAAAAACGATGGCACCACAGATATACAGTATATACTGTGGATGGCGCACATAATAACGATAAACGGTTACAATAACAATACGGTAAAATAATAGATATAGCAAGTGCAGTAATATACCGTACGTACCATAGAGTAATACGGTGCAAGTATAGTGATATAATATACTATTATATGGTACATAATCTATCGTATACAATTCATGTTATCGGCGCGCTATCCTTACGGTCTTCGTGGCGTTGTTTGGCGTCCTATTGAAACGAAATCCGAATCGGTGTCGCGTCCGCCAACGTCGGAATACATGGCGATCCGATCAATGCGTTCACGGCAGTGATGAACGAAAAATCACGTCTCCGTTAGTCACCGCGACAATGGAAACAAATAAACGGTGACTGTCGCGACTTGGCTTATAATATTGTCAATAATGTAGTATATTCATTTATTCAAAAATTGCGTAGATATCTACATGCCACGACCGTGGTGGCGACTGGTGTCCGTTGTAGAAGCGAATGGTGACCGTTTAAAAGTCGATTGTGATAATGGAGGCGCTGTCAACATTTGACCAACTTTGGTCACTATTAACCATCTCTGGTTCACGCGATTGTGATCGCACCTTAGGCCGATTTCCGAAGGGCGCACGATGTAGCGCGAAACGGTCGCCCCGTGACAGCGGTACTGCGGTAAAGCGACGTGATGCGTCACGATTGTAGGCCGGAATTATGTCCTTTTACACATTTTTTTCAGGCGTAACACCTTTCCGCCAATAGTGTACTTTTCCCTTTTACACCAAATTATATTTTCACTGATATTTGTTTTCTACCGAATCAATTTCTTTATCACTCTATGAGTACATGAATTATTTTGTTATAAATATGAAGAACACAACATTGATGGACTGAAATATTCGTAAATTCCTATGATATCAAGTAAATAGATTGCCTTTGATTTATCTCATTTAATCGTCTTAAAATTACATATAAGTACATGAAAAAACTCGTTTTTTAGTACTATGTTTAAGTTTATGATATTTAAATATATAGATATAATATATTATGCTATATAGATTCGATAATGTTTCAACTTTTCAGTATTGATAGGGAGGTATTAAATGATTGCTATAGTATTTTATTTTAATGTTAAAACAAATCAACAAAATTTAATTCATTGCAGAGTCCAATAAAGACCAAATCAGTACCTAACACACATAATATTGTGCTTAATATGTTTAACTAGTGAGTTTTGTAATAGAAATTGTTTTGATGGAAATGGCTATAGGTCAAAATATAACTTGGTGGAAAAGGAATTTGTACACTTTTGGCGGAAACGTGACCAGTCCTTTTTTTCTTTTTTTTTTTTTTTTGGTTCTATGCAGCGGACCCGGGGGTTCGAAATCCTTAAAAATCGTGAAACCAGTTAATCAGTATGAACAGTTTTTTTTTCATACGTATATAAAAATAATTCAAGATGATATTCAAGATGAATATTTCGTATTTTTCTAATAAAGAGTATTCGAGAGTATATTGATTGGTTTTATAGATTTTCGATACTTTGTGTTCCAGTAACGTAAATATAGTAAATTATATGTTCAATATTAGTGATATTGAATGTTGTAAAACGTAGCAATAGTTTTGAATGAAAATAATGAAGTACAAATTATAGATCATTTTTCAACGGCTACGAACGTTTTTTTTCAATACATATAAAAATGTATTAACGGACCGTTATACCAATATGACACCTGATCATTAGGAACATAATATTATTGTCAACGTTTTTCAAACGTTTTCTTAATTAAAAGTACGTTATTAATCTAATTTAACTAAATAAATTAAAGTTATCTAAGTTGTTTTTGTTTTTTTATGAGCAGTTTTATTTTTTATTATATATTATGTATACTGTATATTTTTTTTGTATTAGGCATGTACTTCATTCTTTTGCATATAAAAGAATATTTTTTCGCATATTTTATTATGATTTTTAAATAATATATTGGAAGGTTATTATTAAATGTTGAGAATATCAACTTTTTAAGAGAATATTAGTATTTCATTTCGGTTATTTTAAGAGAATATTATTCAGACCTCAAGTCGTGGTATTCGCGCGTGCAGTGAGCAGAGAGCACGTAGCGTAATTCCGAACGGGTCCGACCATCCAACGCGACGGCCATCTGTCGGTTCTCGTAACGTTTCAACGTCGCCTGCCGCCGGTCTTTGCGCGCGCGTGCTCGTTCGCGAAGTCCGTGAAACCGTCGGCGTTGCCACGCGTTGAATTCAAATGAAAACAAATGTAAACGCGCGGAAGATCGACCGGAATGATAATGTTGCACGTTTTCGTCGTCGAAACTGTCGCAATGGAATATTGCGTGGTCCTGTGGTTCTCGACCATTTTCCATTCGTGTCACCTTGAGCCATTAAAATCAAACATTGCTTCGCCCGGTGGGCCGGAATTCATTTCCAAGCGGCCAAAAGTATACATGCGTATATTTTTGATCAACTGACAATAACACTTTGAAACTCGGGACCAAGGACATTTTTTATTTTATTATTATATATATTTTTTTTTTTAATAATAACGCTTTACAAGTATTTACATTTATCTAATTTAAATACAATTTGTTCATCATGATCCAAGTGATAAATTATCATTTTAATTTTATAAAATGTAGGTAATCGTTCGTTAACATTTTTATTAATTAATTTGTACCTAATACAACTTAATAGAAACATATCACATAATGCTTTAAACATAATACATAGGTCTGAACTAGAATCAGAATTTGAAGTTGTGTCATATTCTGATGACTATATCTTGATTATGATGATATAAAAAACCACTATGTGTATCACGTACTTCGGAAGCAAGGCGATCTCTTATAAACGAATGCCGTTACCTTCAGCTAGGGCGGGCGAGAAAATCTGAGGGCCATGGGGCTGCGGGCCCTCTTCCTTTTGCAATTGTTTGACCAAGACGCATCAAGACCACTTGTACATGCTTTGGTATAACAAAAATATTGTATACAAGGCCGAAATGACGAGCCCTTTCGGACGTATGGGCCCTGGGGCTCTGGTCCTCTCTGCCCTACCCTCTCGCCGGCTCTGCCTTCAGCTGAAGTAAAGCGAAAGAGTAAATATAGCTAATCATAAATCAATTTAACATTAAATCAGGCTAATAATATTATACCTACAACCTAAAATGCATAATCTTTCAAAATTGGTTTCTTTTTTACGTCCGCTTTAAAAAAACATTATAAGCACATAATTTATTATGTTTACGCAGTTTACGCTCAAACAGCATAGCAATGGCTAACTAAATGTTCGCGTGAATTGTATATATTATAAGTTATCTGTAAACAATAATAAAATATGAATGTTTCTAAATGTGCAAAAAATAAAATTTGAAAATAACTCTATTATAACAGAACTATATAATAATTTACGTGTTATTGAAAATGTTTAAGTCAAATAAATTATAATGTTGTTGTAATTTATTATGTACTTAATTAAAAAATTTGTTTTTATCAATGAAATTTTAAGAAAAATGACTCCTTCAACGGAAGGTTGTGCTTTATAAAAACACCAGTATAATATTTATGAATTCTTAAGTGCTAAAAAATGATGTATTTTATGATTCAACATTTTCCAGATGTTTTGTATATATTTATATCCTTTTGTTAATTGTAGTATTTAAATTCTTAATGTTTTTAAACTATACACTTTGTCATAAAAATGAATCATTTCAGTTGTTGGAAACATTGAAATTTACTAAAATTCAAACATAAGATAGAAATATGTCGATATAATATTAATTTTTAAAAGTTATTAGAATTGAAATTGTAAAAGATTTTTAAAAAATGACCTTTATTTAAATATTTTACCAAAACATAGATCAAACATAAAAATAATTTTGAAATATAAGTATTAAAAATAATATTAATATTGATTAATTATTATTATTATATATTAATATTATTTTTAAAACAATGGGTGTTAACTTTAAATGTATCGAAGAACATATAAAATGGATTCTTTTTACATTTTTCTCATTTGTATCTACCCGTGTATATTTATGAATCATTTAAGTGAAATTTAAAAATAATTCTCTTTCTTGCCGTAACAGGGAAAGCTGTTATAAATTCAGTTGTTCCACTATAGTTTACTAGCTACCGATTTAAACGACAATGTATTGATTATTGATATTCTTTGGCAAAGTTTCCATTTTTCAAAATACGACTATGTCAGCCAAACACTTTGCGGTCGTAATTCAATACACAATAATAATATTAAAAATAATATTAATAATAATAATAATAATAATAATAATAATAATAATAATAATAATATGTTATTCGAGTATTCTGTTTGAGTTTGTTTCTTTCCACATTCTGATGGTCACTTTCAAATGTAATAATAATATAGAACAGTTATTGTGTTTATCAGACGATCATTGTTGAATAATAAATTATACACGAGTGTATTCGAATGACATTTATAGACGTGTGCGGTCTGACTGTATAATATGTAATAATTTAAACAGTAGACGTAATAGATCTTTTGAAATGTTTTGGCAAAGTGGGTTTTTATTTCAATTAAATTCTATTGTAGTTTTTGAAAACATTCGAGGCTCCGGTTTTCATCCGAAAATCAAACTCAAAACCTTGAAGTACCATGTAGGTATATCAAGTACGTGGTTTTGATTAAAATAATAGAAATTTCTATTTATTATATTTATATTTATTTTTCCTTAAAGTAACCCTTTTTCAATATTTTATTTGAATTTACATATCATATTATTAGGACCTCGAGGTATGAATTTTAACAAATATTATGATATCCATTTGAAATATAACGTTCAAATTTAAAACGAAGTCCATTGCATATTCAGACAATAAAATGTCATATATGTTTATAGTATTTATCATAATGTTTATATATATATATCATATGTATATGTTTTAAATACCCATCGTCATGCTGTATTAATAATTTATCATTAATTCGTAAATACTGAATAGTTATAAAACTGACCGTCAGTAAAACCATTTTCAGTGTAGATTGCCTAATTCTATATTATTATACAGTAAGTTTCCCTTAATGTTTAACTGGTTTATAGAATCAACCATTTATTGGAATTAAAAAAGAAAATCCCAAACCTAATCGTATGTTACTAATGTTAAATTAACCTTTTATACTCGTATCAATATGTACCGGATAATTGAATCAGTTTTATGAATATTCTTACCGTTTTTATAGTATTTCAAACTGATTAATTTATGAGATCCATTTTTTTAACTTATTAGTGTATTAGTATATCATTGTACGTCATGTACTCGTGTCCTTAAGTTTATTTTGGTTCGTGTTCAAACATTTTTCTTAAATGTCGAGCAAACGAAAAGGTTGGTCAATATAAGAAAAATATGATGTATTTGTTCGTTTTGATAAATTATTTAAGTTATTTAAATTAGAAGAATATCAAGTGCAATGAAAAATAGATAGTTTTTTTTTAATTTATTTTTTACGCATTTTTCTATTTAGTTTTAGTTTTATTTTAAGTAAACGTGAACATAAAGAATCAACAAAAAAAACTTTATAGAATAAACTGGTTAATGTAATCAAAATGGCCTAAACTAATGTGATCCCATTAAGCGGAACTCGCTGTAGATTTATAAAACAATAAGAATTTAATACGTTTAGTTACCTAAACCTTAATACTTAATAACCTTACTAACTTATAAGTATATAACTTATTATTCACTACACAATAGTATACTTTTTACATTCTAAGTGAAACGAGGAATATATAGGTTTTACTATAATGATTGTTTTTGTCTGTGATTATGAACATGAACTCAAACAGAAAGAATGTTCCAATCACCACCAAATAAAAAAATTAAAAGATAGGAAATAGTTTATATTTGGGGGTTGATTTTTTAACTTCTCGATAGTTTTCTCAATAATTGTGAAAATCTGATGAAAAGGTATAAAAATATGGCGTACCGGTTTTCTCCAAAATAAATTAATCGTTCGTTTCATATTTTAAGTCATATTTTTCAAGCACTCATCTATCTCTATTTATATTTATTAGTGTTTTAAAAAGTTTTCAAACCAAAGAGTTCATAAAGTATTTTTAAAGTTATGATAAGCAAAATCAAATTAACTTTAACACCAAAAATAAAGAAACATTCATATGACAAAAAATTATAAGCTTTACAAACCAAAAATGGATACCTAAAGTTTTTTAAAATGTGTATATTCATATTATTATAACCATTACATAATAATGTATTTTTAATTTAATAAATAATTTTAGTTTTTTAGTACCTAGAATATTTTAACTCGACAATTATAAAAAGTACAGACGAAGTTATTACGGACTCGGAAGAGTTTACATATTATCCTTCAGATAATTCTGAAATAAATCCAGAAGAGTTTACCACTTATTTAAAATATTAAAAAAATCAACTATTTTAGGATCTAAAAATAATGTAAATCCAATTAACTAAAAGTCAATTGTATTGTCCTTAAATAATTGTCTTACCAACTTTCTTGGTAAGTGCAATTCAAATTAAGAATTGATAAAACAAAATTGTACAAAATTTCATGTTTTTTACTCATAAAATATAATAAATTGTGCCATTGGGGTGTCAAATGAGAAGAGGGTAACCCCCCTAAATCTTAACAAATGTTTAAAAATTTAATAAAATTTAAATTAAATTTTATGAAGTTCCACCGAATTTATTTTAGATAAGATTATGGATATATATATATTGATTATTGTATTCACCTGTAAAGTGAAAATTATTAACCCCCCACCAAAAGAAAAAAAAATTCTATATACGCCCCTGATTTGAACTTATTATTTTACTGTAGATGTTTGTACTCCATATTAAATGTTTTACATTAGTAAATTACGTTTTCTAAAAATTCAATATTCAAATTAATTTCCCATATCATTGTGCTCGGTCTTGTACAACAAATAATTTGTCTTGATTCTTCTGACGACTTTTACTAACCCACAAATGGTATTACAAGAGAGGCTTTGTCTTAATAATCATAGTACTTTCGATAATTGATTTAGTAGAGCATATGTATATTCTTACCATACATTTGTACCTTTGGACTTTTGTTTAAGTACTAAGGTAATAATTATACATGAAAATTGCCCATTTTTATTGTTTAGAAACATGTTTTAGTATTTATTATTTTTATTATATTACAATTTGTTAGACATAAACATTAAATAACAATTATAAAAAATGGAATTTATAATATGAGACAAAAATACAAAACATTTTAGGAGAGACCATTCATTAACACAACTTTATAATTAATTGTTTTCCCATTATTATATAAGAAGTGTAATACCGATTAATCAACTATTATCCTATTAAATACTCGTGTATAACATTTATATTATAAATGTGTATTATTATAATCAGATATAATCACATTATTTTCCGTCCGGTAGAAAACCAAATATATTTATGAACATTTTATATGACAGCCGATACCGTGAGCAAAATGTATTTCAAACGAGAGCAACAGTTAATAATATGTAATTCCAATTGCACTCCATAGCATAATCTGATTATCGTTTGTTAATATTTTGGCTCCGGTATCTGCTTAGTAATTGGATATGAATATTGTATGTAGAATGGTAATTGGACGTCACTCCGTGAAACGGACGATATAAAACGGACCCTCTGACCTGTGTTTAGTATCAGTCGTTCATTTGTCTTCAGTAGTGCATCACTAGAAACTCAAATCAGCCAACAAATAAAATCATAATGCAATTCCAAGTAAGTTTTTTTTATAAGTTCTCGGTTCAAATTGTGTACCCAATCTGTTGAGCATATCAATGTATTATTGTTATCATTATTTTGCTGCAATTTGGTCGTTGTCTATATAAGTTTTTTGTTATCCTCAATATATTGGATATAATTTTATTTCGGTGATTCATATTCCACGTGAACAATGTTTCAGGTATCTTTCGCTCTGCTCGCCATGGTCGTGTGCTTCGCCGCTGCTGCCGAAGAAGCCAAACCGCAGTCCGCTACATCCGCCACCGACAGAAGCAAACGGGGTTTGATTGCCCCGCTGGTCGCCTCCCCTTACGTAGCAGCACCATACGCCGCCGCCCCTTACGTAGCAGCCCCGTATGCCGCTGCCCCGTACGCAGTCGCTAGCCCGTATGCCGCTGCCACTCCATATGCAATTGCTTCTCCATACGCCACCCCATACGTTTCCTCGTACACAAGCTACCCTTATGTAGCCAAGGCTTTGGCTTCCCCATACACTTACTACCCATGAACACGACCAAGTCCATTTATATTTCTCCCACAGCACATACAATCTTCAATTCTCAAGTTATTTCATAGCGAAATAATTGTATAAAAACCCAGATTAACTAACATCAAAATGTATACAAAAATGTTATGTTTTGTTAAAATGTAAATAAATACTAAATTGTTCAAAAACTTGTTGTTTTATTCATTGTTGCTTATACATTATACCATAAAATGAATTGTATACTTTAAAATGTGCTATTTTGTATACTCAACCTATAATCTTACAGTAGTACCGATTCGACGATAAACATCATATTAAAGTTTACACAATTGAATTTACAACTAGAATAAAGTACCAAAGTAGGTATTACGTTTATTAAGTCAATTACACTATGGAAAGATACATTTTATTCTTCTTTCACATTCAAAATATTTAAGAAATAAGTTTGTGTATCGCTATGTAGTTATCAATATTTTAACTGTCATCACAAAAAGAAAAACTAAAATAAATACAATAAAAAAAAAAAAAAATAGATGCTTAAAAAATAAACAAGTGAAATGTTGAAAAATTCAAATAAAAGTTTCAACAAATTCTGACACTGATACGTTTTATATACATTTTATACTGAAAAAAACAGAATACACATAGAGAAACAAAGTAAATATATTTAAAACAAATTTACTTACTAACTTATATATATATATATATATATATATAAAGGAAGTATAAGTAATGAAAAAATAATCTGTATATTTATGATTCAATTAAATATTTTAATGTTTATGATATATAATTCTGTATACGAGTACATCTTTATTATTCAAAATGTATTTATTTTTATTTTACATTGAATATTAATCCTACATTTTAAGACTATAAACCTATAGGTCTCTAATGTGTTTTCATAATATTCAAAACACAATCAATAATAGGATTTTTTCGAGTTCACATTTTTGTCAATAAAATTTGAAGTTATAAGTTATAATAAATGTATAAATTTTTTTTTTGTGGTGAATGATCCTGGTACCTAGTTTTTTATTAAAAGCATAACATTTTTCATTATTAGAATATTCTTTTTAGGGTCTTGAAATTGTATTTAAATAATTTAAATGTATAAATATATCACTAAGATAAGCTAAGAGTATTGATGATTTGTTAACTTAAAAAAAAAAAAAAAAAATTGAAAATTAAATATTTTGATCTTTAAACAAAAAAAAAAAATTCAATTCGTATAGCAATTCAATAACTCGTATTTTTGTTTTGTTGACGGTTAATGATAAAATATATTTTGTAACTGGTATAACAGATAAAAGGTTAAATTAGTTTTTAATATAAGAGGGGGTGGGGTCGTGAGATGACTGATTTCTTTTTTTTTTTTTTACCTATTTTGGGGTTCACAACTTTAAAAATGTTGAGAAACATTGATGTACATTGTGTATATCATGCAATGTGTACTATATAGTTATATAAAACTAAAGTCCTATAAAAAACTAGAATTATTTCAATAAATTATATTTTGTTTTATTTTTCTTATAAACATCAATTACTTAAATGATAGGTTATTGTACCGATTTAATATGTGTCTGATATAATTATAAAAAAGTCAAGCAATTTATTAAAAAGATAGAAAAAGAATGTATTAATTCATGAAACACATTAAGAATTCTTTGTGCATATTATTTAAAACGTTTGAAACGTTATAGCCTATAACGATGAGTGCTTTTACGATTACTACCACGATGACCTTGCTATGCAGTTCATCACATTCTGTTTTCACTTAAACAATCGATATTTATTTTTATTTTTTTTTGTAAAGCATTTTTATACTACATTTTTTTCAAACTTTGAGTGTATAGACATGGTTACTGCTTGATATTATACACGATTACATATATAATATCCTATATATATATATATATATATGTTTACATAAAAATATATAAATCGTCGACGTGATAATATTGTATTCAATAATTCAAGACTTACTATAACTGTCACATAACTTGTACTGATAATGTTCTTATAATTATGATTATTTCTAAATTATCCAAGAATGGATTGAAGTGAATATGTTATAAAATGTATGATAATTTTAAAAATATTGATTATATGATTTTAAAAATATTCAGTTCTAATATTTTAAACTAAATTATTAAAATATTAGTTCAGTGTGAATTCATGTTTTTTTTCTTTTCTTGTGTCAATATTAGTATTTATTTACATTTAAAAGCAATAATAAATGATAAAATTGGATAAATGGTTCTAAACAAAGGTCGATATAGAACTAATTTATAATATTTTTCATAATTTAATTAAATATTTACAATTGCTAGACAAATTTATCAAATATTTTCAAATTTAATTATAGTTCTTCGATAATATAGGAATAAAAAGAAAAATTATATATTAACGTACCATCTGTTATACTGTATCCAAATTTTAAATTTTGATACTGATATGTATCTGAATGATTGATGGTTAAAACAGTAAAAGAGTTATTTAATTGTTATAAGTTTAGAAATATTTATAAAAAAAATATTGAGTTTCAAGCAACTGATTTTTATAAAAGTTTACATGATGTATGAAATAGCTGTTTAGTATATAAAATATGTAACTTCCATAATATTTAAACGAGTATAGATAAGATCTATTCAAATACATGGATAGTGTAAATCAAAAAATTGGAAGGGGATCAAAATCATCGATATACATAGTTTGTTTTTAGTGTAAGTAGATATTTGGTACATCGTTTCTAGTTTTTTTATTCCTTGTGATACGACGAGAGACTGAATAACCAACAAAGGTAATGAAGAGGATAAATTTGATCATCAAGCAATTTATGTGGGAATGATATATTAAATTAATGTTGACAGTCTGCCAAAGAAGCTAGTCATAGTTTAGTCAAAAATAAGGATCATATATAGTTTTAATAAAAATGCTTTATTTTAAGGAGTTGGTTTAACTAACCAAATTGAGAAATTTACGTTGAACCTGTTCAACTTGAAAATTATACTAAAATGTGAAAAAAAATAGCATACAACTGAGCTAAATTTAGGAACCGGTCTTATTCAAACATAGTATAGATATTAAGAGTGGTATGATGAAACAAAATTAAAAATTGAAATAAAACCACACAAAATTATAATTTAAAAATATAATGTTTTTTGGTATTATTATTCTAGGCAATAGTATAAAAAAAACAGAAGCTTTTAACAATTATTTTAATTAATGATTTATAATGCATATCAATAGTATCAAAAATATAAATCTAAAATAATGGAAAATTTTAAAAATTAAAAAAAAGTTTTTTAAATTTAAAAAAGTCTATTAGGTATAGTTAAAAATCAGTTTGTTCCACTCAGCTATAAACAGTGTTTTTTTGATAATACTTTTATTTATTAAAACTATTTACATAACTGATAACTACACAGTCAAAATTACTAAAATTATCAAAATGCCAATTATATATAGGTTGTAACAAAATATTAAAAAATATTATATATAACTTTATTTTATTTTAAGAGAGCTATACAATAATTATTAATAATAAAATAGTTTTTTATAAACAAATCATGGAACTTGGTTATAAAAATGTTGATAAAAGGATGTTATTTCACACACATTAAAATAATACAGTATAATATCTAAAAGTAATAATTTAGCATCGTATGATTTTATTTGGTTGATATTATAATTTTGACGTAGTAATTTTAAGTAGTATACTGAACTGGGCGGGATACGTGGGGAGATCGAGGGGACTAACCGAACAGATTATGAAATGGAAGCCAAACACAAAAAGGCCTCGAGGACATCCTAGACAAAGCTGGAAGGATAGAGTGGTCAAGGACTTGAAAGAACTTGGAATAGAGAATGAGGAAAAACTGACAAGAGACAGAGACTGGTGGAGGTAAATGGTTGTTGCAGCGGCAATGGGCCTAAATGGCCTGTAAAACCCCTTGAAGAAGAAGAAAAAGATAAAAATATACCTATTTTATATAAAATATCTGATACTACATATCTATAATAGATAAGTAGTATCAGATATTTTAGACTTTAAGCGAAGGCACCAATTTAATTTTCTACGCGAAATGAGGATATCATTGATCCAAATGCAATATTTTAATACGGATCATCCATAAAACAGAATTAAAAAAAAAAAGAAGGAAAAAAACCATAAAAAATAATAAAGAATAGAAAGTTATAACAATAATAATACACATGCTAACAAAAATCTGTGTTGACCATTTGAGCACACGTTTTGACCTAAACCAATTTTTTTTTTCAAAAGACAATATCAAATATAGACAACTTGTGAGCGTCGTAATAGTATTTGTTGAAGAATTACCCTTTCGTGAATGTATATCATTACAAAAAATATCGTCGAAACAATACACGATATTACTGCAAATATCAATCAATCCCGATCATCCAAAAGCAATTATATAATTCGTGTGATTTCAGAATTTCCCGTATGTGTAATGTAATTTTTTTTTTTATGCTAAAAATGTCACACATAATATGAAATCATAATGTCACGTTATTGTACCATCCAATAGTTATGAGTTATCGCCTTGGCATGGTCAATGATGTTGTAACTATTGTTGGTGCGCGGAGAATAACAATTGAACGTCCAATGGTAGAATGACCATATATAAGGGGCTGCCGGACCGGCAGTAGCTATCAGTGTCAACCATCCGTCTTCGGTCGCATCATTCATTGAAAAATCTTCAAGACAACGACCGAACCCGAAATCACCATGAAATTCCAAGTAAGTAGTAAAAATCGTTAGAAACGTTTACCGTTTTCTCAACCGAATCGATATCGTGCGGTTGGTACCGTTGTACCTCGATTACCGTGCGATAATTAATGTTTTTCGCGTCGATTCTTGCGCCGCTACCAGCGACGAAAACCGTTGGCGCGCGAACACGTACTTTTATGGGGCGGTTCACCCCTGTACTCAACTCCGTGACGGTTGAATTTGCAATCACGCGACCGGTCATTGTTTTGCTCCGACTCGGCGGGCGACGGTAACCGGTTTGCACGCTTTGCCATTTTCGTTTGATGGGGGAAGTGGGGGACACTTCCCCCATCAAACGAAATACAAGTCGGCGCAACTGTCAAAATCCCGATACGTTGATGTGTTCGACACGTGTTCACGTTTAACCTAACCGTGTACGGTTCGTCATCGTACTGCGTGGTGTACGTGTCCACGGGTACGTTCGTTACTGGTCCCGCACAGCTTTTTTCACGCGTACGATTTTGTCGAACGTTTACTGGAGTTATAAAAAGTCCGTCATTGCGTTTCCATAGGTGTGTCTCGCTCTCGTCGCCATGGTCGTTTGCTTCGCTGCCGCCGCGGAACAAGCTAAACCCGCACCATCCAAGTCCGCCACCGACCGCAGCAAACGTGGATTGTACGCGCCACTGATCACTTCGCCGTACGCCCCGGCGTACACCGCACCGTACGCAGCAGCACCGTACGCGGCACCGTACGCCGCTCCGTACGCCGCCACGTACGCCGCCCCGTACGCCGCCCCATACGTCGCGGCACCGTACGCGGTCGCCGCTCCATACAGCTCATCGTACGTTTCCCCCTACGCAGCGTACCCGTATGGATTTGGCTCACCCTACGGTTTCTACTGATCCGTGCGTCCGAAGTCATTTTCGATATCATCTAGTATTAGCTGCATTCAAATAACAATCCGACGGGTCACGACTACTCGTGTACAGCGTAATAGCATGTAAATAAATACAATAATAAAAATATAAAAATTATATATTCGAATATATAATATTATATATTCAATAGTAAAAATATCGAATCCGCGAAATGTATCGCATAATCTGTGTATTATTAATCCTAAAGCTAAAACTGCTATTTGTAAAAATAACTCATGTATAACGTGTCGGTCGGGAATGCAAATATATTGATTTTTTGACCAACAACGGTGTTTTTAGTTTCGTCGATGACGTTTGAGAGTAACCTTATCAACATGATGGGATGGAATGTGTGACAATCTGTCGGTAATTTTACTGATTACGCACACGGAAAAATTGGCTACCAAATTAATGAATAGCAACTGTTTTAGTCACTCCACAACTGTATTAAATAAATATATCAACATAAAAGTAGTGTGTGTATCGATTTTAAATTTAAACCCAATGAATCAACCATTGTAATCAGATAGTAATTGAAGACTTCGAGTGTAATGGAATAATAAATCATAAAAAAAAAAATGCATTATATATGATATAGATTTTGAAAGAATAAAATTATATTAAAATAATCTATAATTTAATTTTCTAGTTGAATAATAGAAATACTCTGGTAATTGTGACAAAAGCATCTTCGAAAAATATATGATTAAAAATACTAAGTCACAATTCTATAAAGTTATTATATTAGCTTATATTATTAATCATAAATGTCTTTGTATCAAAGTATCAGTGACTACAATTACTATTTCTATGAGTGAAGCAGGTAAGTATATTTTTTTTAAAATCATTTATTTTAATTATACTGTGGCACATGAAATCTATTTCAATAGTTTTGTGAACTTTAAAGTAAGGTCAAAAAATTATCTACCAGGTATTATAATATTTAATGTCAGTACCTAATTGACTGTATTATTGATTAAATCAAGGAAAATGAACACTTGGTTTGATAAACTACAATTAATTATAATAAAACATTCATAAATATATTCCATATAAATTAAATGTCTTTCATCAATTGTGGAATTCACAATCTTTTTTTTAGGTCCAGTGAAACAACCAAAACAAATTTTTGATTTTCTTTTTCTCATTTTCTATACTGCATAGTTCTACTAAGTAACTGTTCATTATTAAATTATAAATGCATATCAGCTTTTAATCACTATTTCACTAAAATTCCATGATACTATTTTTTCCCACTCCCCTAGTCATATATATATATATATATATATATAATATTTTTAGCTAGATTAATAGATTATTTTTAAATTAAATTACTTGGATTTATTTTTTATTTAAATTATTTATTTGACGATTTATTTTTCAAATAATTCTTGTAAAATAAATAATCATAATAAATTAATATAATTTTTTTTTAAGATCGTAAAATTTAATTGGTTGATAGGTTATAAAAATAATATTATCTCATTCCGTAATAAGTCAAAGTTTATTACAAAACTTTATACTGTTTACGGTATATTTTTATTTAGAAATTGAGGGTCCGAACACGTGTGGTATATATATATATATATATATTTTGTTACAGTTGTGAAAATATGTTCAAAAATCACCTTAAATTGTTTAAATACTGTAATAAAAATAACTCGTATCATTTATTCCATTATTGTTAAAAGAGTGAACTATAAGAAAAAAAAGAAATTATAAATAACATATTATTCACTATGTTATCTAATCTCTCGATTGAATGACATTTTCCTATATGAGCTATTACTTAAAATTTCCATATTTTATTAGAATTATTAAAACATTACAATGGATTAGACACGTATGGCATGCAGAAGGAAGTCTAATAAATAAAGTTCTCAATAAAAAACTTAGTGGAAAAAGACCCTTGGGGAGACCACACCAGAATTGAATGGACGTGGTGAAGAGACATGAGTGTAGATCTTACGTATAGCACTAATTTGGTAGGATGGATAGGAAAATTTGATCACATCCGTGGGGGGCTTCAATATTTTTACCTTATCCATTAACCTAATCACACATTTTCAGACAATGTTTGTATTAAAAAAAAAATATATATTTGTATATTAAATTATAATGTATAAAATACATTATGGTAAAGCTTATACTTTTATTTATATACTTATAGTGTATATACAATAAACAGATATAATATTTGAACGACGTTGAAGAAAGAAATTTCATTTATCTTATTAAAATTTAAATTTAAATGTCTTGTTTGTCTGCTATTAAAAATATTTTTTTGATTAAATACAGTATACACATTATTATTATTGTATGATCTAATTATAATTGTTATTGTAAATAATTCTTACATTAAATAAGGTATTAAAACTAATGAAACTAAGTTGGAGTTCTAAAAGTCGAGCGGTAATAACTTATTATCGAAAGATAAAAAAAAAAAGCTATAAAAACAAAAAAAAAGTAAGAGTTCCAATAAAAGTGGACATAAAAAAAAGGTTCCATAGATAAAAAAGTTTATGGAATGCTGACTTAGATATTATTTTTTCAATATACAAAATTGAGATGTTATAACACTCCTGCAACATATAATATATTACATAGAATACTATCACATCTACCCGATGATCATACATTTCTACAAATGTATTTTATCGCAAATCCAGATAATAACCGTGCGGAGCCGGGGTTGTTAGTTTAAATTTAAAATTAAATTTTTTCAAAATGATGCATTAATTAAGGAAAATGTATTATTATTTATTATAAATTTAATATTATCTCACGTTTCATACATATTTAAAATTTGAGATTATGAGCGATTCCTCTTAAAAACTGAAGAGCTATCATCTTTACGATACGTAAAAGACTTACTACTTAATACTTAATACTCTTATTCGATATATATTATTAATACTTATTATTTATAATAAGTATATGTTGTTGTATAATATATACATTAAAAATATTTATTCATTTTTTTTCTCTTAAATTATTTTGTAGGAGGTATTTTGATCAAAGCAAATAATTAATAAGTACACTACATAACATGAATAATTTGAAATTAATAATACATACGACAACATACACAATGATACGTAATATGAAATTCTAAAATTTACATTTTTTAGGGTAAAAAAAAAACTTAAATTTTTTTCTAAAATTTCGGAAATCTTCTCTCCATAAATACGCTCCGAAAAGTAATATATGATATTATTATATCATTGATACATCACATTCACACAGGTGCGACATTTTTCAAGGGGGGGACGAACATATTTTAACTCAATAATTACTAATATAATACAAATGATGAATAAGTAGGTACAATTAATTTTATAATAAAATCAATTTTTCGTTTATTTTTAGTAAATAGATCAATAACACTATCTAAATTTATATGAATATATTTTTCTCATGAATTAATGTCAGTATTTTAAACTTTTTAACCAAGTTTTTAATTTAAAAAATCATGAAGTAAAAAAGCACACAATTAGGTGAATGTTAAACTAATATCTATCATTATTAAGCATTATCCAAATACAGCAAATATATTTTTGAAACATGAATAATCATGAAAAGTAAAGATTTACTCATCATATTATTATTTTATGGAATATCTTAAGTCCATGGTATCATGATCATGTGCACGTTATACTTAACCAACTTTTTTTTTACTTATTTATCTCAATAATCATAGTTCATGCTATACAAATGAATAAAAATAATTAAAAATGCATTTTGCATTAGTTATTAATGTTTATCATTAGCATTTTATGGAAGTAGACGATAATTCTTTCCGGCGTAGGGAAAGTGGTGCCCCCCATCGCCCAGTATACCATTGGTATATTGCAGTAACTATACCCTGACCTTAACTGGTTGGGGTATTCTGACCCACCAGGTTGGGGGTTAAGTTCAGGGCCAACAACCCTGCCTAGTAAAAAAGATCTTGTTCAGGATTCATACAACAAGCCTCGGACTAGAGTACATGGTAAAACGATCGGAAACTGGAAAACGGAATTGCTGTGCGGTACGTCGAATGTGCGATCCTTACACAAACCAGGTACGGCTTTGGACATGGCTAAGGAATTAGAAAAATACGGAATAAATTGTGTAGCACTTCAAGAAATCAGATGGGAAGACGCCGGGACAACCAAAATGTTTCAAACAACCATCTTCAACGGAGAGTGCGAAAATGGTCATAGACTGGGAACCGGTTTTGTGGTACACGAATCTATTATACATTTAGTAAAAGAGTTTAGAGATATAAATCCTAGAATTGCAACTTTAACCCTGAAAACAGATAATTTTGACATGGTGGTAATTAACGTGCATGCACCAACAGAGGATAAGGAAAAGGAAAAAAAAAGATATGTTTTATGGCAGCACTAGAAGATACGTTTAACCAGTTGAAAGGAGATATAAGATTAATATTGGGAGATTTAAATACGAAGATAGGACGTGAGGAAATCTAAAGATCGACTATTGAAAGCCATAGCCTACATACAAACACAAATGATAATGGTATCAAACTAATTGACTTTACTTTAGGAAAAGATATGGTGGGTAAAAGTACTATGTTCCCACGAAAAGACATACATAAATATACATGAATTTCGCCGAATGGGAGACATAAAAACCAAATTGACCACGTCCTAATAAATCATAGATTCAAAAATAGTATTCTGAATATAAGAACTTTACGGGGAGCTGATATGAACTTGGACACTTACTGGTTGGTATATGGATGAGAGTGAAAATTAAGAAGTATAAGAAATGTAATTTAACGAAGAGAGGACGAACTGATATAGTTAAGTTAATGGATAAACAAATATGTAAGGAATATGCAGAAAGCTTTCAAAATATTATTAAAAATAAACAACTGAATGTAAAAGAAAATGTAGATAAAACATGGGAACTTGTTAAAGAAAGTATAACTGAAGCAGCAACGAAGTTGTTAGGAAAAAAGTACCAAAAGCAAAACCGTGGTTCAATAGGATTTGTGAAGAAGCAGTGCAAAGAAGAAAACTAGCAAGACAAGAATGGTTGATTGACACCAGCGATGAAGTAACTTTGAGAAGGTTTAGAACTTACCAAAGAGAGGCCTGCAAGATACTGAGATGTGAAAAGAGAAAATAC